TTAGCGTCATCGTCTGCGACGCAAGCAAAGGGGTCATCATCGACGAGGGATTTGTCGGTGCGACAGCATGTTTCCGTGTCAAAACTGGCCCGTGCTCTACCTTTCACACATCTAGTGGGTTTTGTTGAAGATGGCCTCCATGGTCGTGACCATTTTGCTGTCGGTGAGGTCAAGCACCTCCCAGTTCTTGCTCTCTGACGACACACTGAAATAGAGGCCCCACCGGGCCTTCGGCGCCAACTTTCCGCCGCGCTGCTGCTCGGGGACCATGAACTGCACCATGCAGCCCCACACGCACGCCATCATTAGGTCGGGTTTCTTTTCAAACAACAGCTCGTGTGGCATCATCCCCGAAGACAGAGATGGTCGTTCGAGGCAGTTAGGCACCCGGACGGCTTGTCGCAGAGCAAGGTGTCACCAGTGGTGCTTCACGCCTATGTGAAGCAACATCGTTTGCACGGTCTTGACGACTGTACGCATCTCCCGCTCCGCCATCCCGTTCCGCTGCGGAGTATAGGGGCATGCCAGATTGTGGAGGATGCCTTTGTCCTCGACGAGGTCGGTGAAGATTTGACCGACGAACTCCCTTCCACGGTTAGATTGCAGCTTACCATCTTTCACGTCTGCCGCTCTACCACCTTCAGCCACTTTTCAAAGACGACCAGCACGTCGCTCTTTTTTGTGGTCGGCCGAACTTACACATAGCGAGTCTTCCTGTTCTTCAGCAGGAGAAGTAGAGAATACCATCGATTGTGGTCTCTATGCCTCCTGCATAGCCTCCTCCTTAATGATGGGCTCGTGAAAGCGTCCTCGTTGAGCGACGCCAGGCATCGCCTTCATCCGCCACATCATATTGTAGCTGCGCGGCACCCCCTTGACAACATGCGTGATGTAGGTTGATGTCGAGTAATCGACGCCCGCCATTCGCATGTTGGCCATGATCCGTCGAGCACGGTTGCAGTAGTCTGTCGTCGACTCCTGCTCGCCCATCCTAAGGTTTGTCAAGCGCTTATACAACTGGCCGACGTACAGGTCGTGGGCCGCCTGGTACGTCGACATGATGAGCCGCCACGCCTGGTGGCCGGCGTCCAGTTGTAGTCGACGCGACTTAAGGGCGATCTGCACCATTGGCGAGCAGCAGCACGAGATGACCATGAATGTCAGCTCATGAGCCGCGTGGAATTCTGCCCGCAGCTCGACGCCATCCTCGTCCGGCGTCACGATTTCGCCATTGACAAAACACTTCAGCCTGAAAATTTCCAGTGGGGGCTCGATCAACTCCCTCCATGTTATGAGGTCTTATGGACCTTCCTGCAGTGCGAGCATGTCGATCTTGTCCAATGAAATATTTAAATAGTCGACCTGAATCCACTTCTTTCCAGGGAGCGACGTCGCCACACGAGCTGCCTGCAACTGCCGACGACCGTTGCACTCACGTTTGGTTTCCACCGACGTCGTCGGCGGCGGCACTAATCACTCCATGCACCCATGTGCCTCCTCGACTGCCGACTTCGTCACCACCGTCGATCTGCTCGTCGACGCTGCCTTTGTTCTGCACAGGTCGGGGTGAGGCAGACTACGTCCGCTCCAGCACGAGGAGGTGGGTAATCGCGTGCCCACTGCGCGCGAGTGCCTAGGAGTGCCCACTCCAAGGGGATCTTGCCAGACTCGCCAGCCGTATGACGTCTCCTAACATCAGCCTCTCGAGACTCAAATGTATCGTCTACGCCCGCTTCAACAACGAAGTCGACCATGGTGACTAACACGGTTGCCGGCCTAACAAGAACTTAGATAAGGCAAAAGTCGTTTACTCTGAAGGTTCTAACACGGGGTCGTCCATGCTGACCGCACCATGTGGAGAGTCACTACACAACATGAGTGGACTACGGGGGAGGGCACGGGGTTGTGAGGGTGATCGTAGCACTCTAGTAGCATTCTTACTACTTGTTGTGTTCACAAGGAAATTTTGCAAGTTTCACTAGAAATTCAGAAGATCATTAAATTAGAATGAGGCGTGCAAGTCGATATATTTAGAATGGCATTGCAACACCTACCAAGCTCACTTCAGAGCGAACTCCGCCAGCGCACCAGAAGAGCAGCATGCGACGCTGCAGAAGAGTAGTATGCCAGCGTTGCACCGCAGCGGTCTGCCAGCGTTGTAGAGGCGTGTAAACTTCTGCGCATGTGCGCACCTACCAAGTAGGTGCAGGTAGACGGTTGTGTCGCCAGGCACATTGCGCATGTGCTAGGCAGAATACGTGTCGATGGTTTCGCCAGCCGTGTACTGTCGAACATGTGATGCCGTTTTGCAGGTCCATTTCGCGAAAACATCCTGGGCGACATTTGCCCACGCATTGGGTTTCGTAGTCGAGCGACTAGCGTCGACCAGCTCGACGATGCTCCGTCGAACAGCATTCGCCGAGACGAGACGTCGAGCAAAGCCCGTCGACCAGCATCTCTCTACTGGCCCGTCAACCAGCGTCTTCTGTGCATCTGCTTGACAAACTCCTCAACAAAACCTCGTCCACCTGATGACCTCGTCGGCCTGTTGCCGAAGTCGACGTCGAATCCTGCGGACAATCGATGTCAACTTCTGCAGGTGATCGACATCAAACTCTGCGGGCGGTCGACGTCGAACTCTGCGGGCGGTCGGCGTCGAACTCTGCGGGCGGTCGACGTCGACTCCTGCGCACACCGGACTGCGAAGTCAGCTTTGCCCAAGCGACGGCGGAAACATTTGCCGTCAACAATCAGCTGGGGAGTGTTGAGCCAGATAGTGCTCGCCATAACCCCTCACGCCTTCTAGAAGAGTTCCACCTCCAAAAGCGCACAAACGCATGACCCACCCCATTTGAATCAGGCTCATCAAGAGCGTATGTAGCTGTTTCTGCTTGAAAGCTGTTAAGAGGGCAATTGAGTGAGTGAACAAGGATTGCACTATCGAAGCAAGAATACATCGAGCGAATGGAATGAGCAAATATTATATAGCGAAACAATAGTGGTAGCGGTAACGCGAGAATTTGGAGTGCTCGACGGGCCTCGCGTAGAGGTTGGGAAATGTCGAGGCGGAGGTCCAGAATGCGGGTTACCAACCGAACCATGACGTTGGGTCACTGCGTGAACAGTGGCGGGAACAGTAGTCGAGGCGAGTGTCGCGAGTGGCAACATTGTACTGTTGGGAAGTGTTGGCGGAAACATTCGTGTACGTGGTAAGCAGGGACGAAAGTAAGGAAAAGGTTTTTTCCTTACAAGGGCGCAAATACTTTTGCACTAGTGTGGAAAGTTGTGAATCACCCCAGAGGTTTCGCGCGTAATCGTGCTCGTCGTACCCCCTCACGCCTTCTAGAAGAGTTTCGCCTCCTAGAAGCGTTCATCTAGGACCGACCCCATTTGGATCGCGCTCATCCAGGACGTTTGTAGCTGTTTTGTTTTCTAGAAAGCGCACATAATTCCGCACCGATGTGGAAAGTTGTAAATCACCCAGGAAATTTTTCGCACGATTCTGCTCGTTGTATTCCCACAAGCCTTCTAGAAGAATTTCACCTCCAGAAATGCACAAACGCGCGACCCACCCCATTTGCATCGCACTCATCCAGAGCGTTTGTAGCTGTTTTTGCTAGAAGTGAAAAAAATCCCGCACTGGTGAGGAAAGTTGTGAATCGTCTGTGAAGTTTTGCACATGATCGTGCTCGTCGTGTTCCCTTACGCCTTCTAGAAGAGTTTCACATCCAACGGGCGCACAAACGCGTAACCCACCTCATTTAAATCGCGCTCATCCACATCGTTTGTAGCTTTTTTTGCTTAAAAGTGCAAAAAAATCCACATCGGTGTGGAAAATTGTGACCCACTCGAGGAGTTTTGCACACAATCATGCTCGCCATATCCTCTCACACCTTCTAAAAGAGTTTCACCTCCAAAAGCGCACAAATGCGGGACCCACTTCATTTGAATCGCGCTCATCCATAGCGTTTGCGGTTGTCTTTTGTTTGAAAGCGCAAATAATTCCACTCCGGTGCGGGAAGTTGTGAATTGTTCGGGGAGTTCTGCGCACGATCGTGCTTGCCATATCCCCTCATGCCTTCTAGAAAAGTTTCACATCCAAAAGCGCACAAACGTGCGACCCACCCTATTTGAACTGTGCTCATTTAGAGAGTTTGTGACTGCTTCTCTTTGATATCGCGTATAGTTCCGCACCAATGTGGATAGTTGTGAATCACCTGGGTAGTAGTTTTGCGCACGAAAGTGCTCGCCATAACCCCTCACATATTTAAGAAGAGTTTCAACTTCAAAAGCGCACAAACGTGCAACCCATCCCATTTGAATCGGGCTCATCCAGAACGTTTGTGGATGTTTTTGCTTGAAACCGCAAAGGATTTCGTACCAGTGTGAAAAGTTGTGAGTCACTCAGGGAGTTTTACGCACGATCGTGCTCACCGTACCCTTTCACGCCTTCAAGAAGAGTTTCACAACCAAAAGCGCACGCGACCACCACAATTGAATTGCGCTCATCTAGAGCGTTTATAGCTGCTTTTGCTTAATTCAGCACCTGTGTGGAAAGTTGTGAATCACCCATGATATGTTAAGTGTCTACATTACCATGATATGCCAAGTGTCAACACTGCCAGGATATGTGTCAAGATTACGAGACTGGAATGAATGTGACTAAGAGAAACAGGAGTACAAATGTGAAACCCTAACTAGGTGTACCCCCTAAGGTATCACCCACTACAGGCTAGAACAATACAAACATATAATGTTTGACACACCCCCAATAGGCAAAGTGGGGGAGACCTAGGGGTCACAAGACCAGTCAAGGCAAAGCAAGGCAAACAAGCTCAGGGTGGATCTCGAGGATTCCACACAAATTCCGAGCACAAGCAAGCGGTCACAAGACCAGTTCACATGCAGGTTTATAATAGAGCAAGACGTACAATGATCACAACCTAGCAAGAGTAAACATGCAGGTATATAAATATATAGTGATCACAGTACAGGCAAAGTCAAGAAGTGAGCAAGTGAGGCCCAGTAGGCACAAGGCCTAACAGAGTACAGAAGCGCTGATGGTCACAAGGCTGGAGTGCCTTGGTGAACACATCAGCAGTGTTGGCCTCAGTGGCCACGTAACGCAGACGAAGCTGACCGCGCTGCTGCAGCTCTCGAGCAAGGAAGTACCGCAGAGCAATGTGCTTCGTTCTGTGCTCCAGTCTGTGCTCCTCACACAAGGCAATGGCAGCCTTGTTGTCGACGTACAGCACTGGAGGAGAACGAGGCCGCTCTCCGAGGTCGGTCAGCAGGTAGGTCAGCCAGCATAGCTCCTGGGCAGCCATGGCTGTGGCGTAGATCTCAGCCTCACAACTGGAGCTGAGAACAGAAGACGAACGAGTAGAACGCCAAGAAACTGAGCCAGAGCCAAGGCTGAAGGTGTAACCCTGTGACGACCGCTGAGTAGCCTGGTCGTCTGCCCAAGAAGCGTCTGAGTGCCCTGTGAGAACAACCCGGTCTCGCCCTCCAAGCACAAGCCCCATGCCCGACGTACTGCACAAGTAGCGCAACACCCTCTTAGCAGCATCCATGTGCTCCTTCCTGTGACGGCCAGGAGCGACATAGCGTGCTAAGATGCTAAGGGGGTATGCAAGGTCAGGTCGAGTGCAGGTCATCAGGTACATGAGGCAGCCCACAAGCTCTGGATACGGGCCACTCGGCTCTACGGACTCATCCGAAGGCAGAGCTGAGAGCGAGTGACCGGTAGGCAGAGGAGTGGACTGAGGCGAGGAGTACGTGAAGCGGAAGCGCTGGAGAACCTGCTGCACCATGTGTGACTGAGTCAAGGTGATGGTGCGCCGTGCTCTGTCCCGGGTGATCCGCAAGCCAAGATAGCTTGTCAGCTCACCCAGGTCTGTGCACGTGTGTCTCCTCTGCAGCTCCGACTTCACGTGGGCGAGTGCTGCTGTGTCAGCAGTGGCAAAGACCAAGTCGTCAACGTACACGAGGATGTAGAACGGCGGCAGCGAGGTGTCGGTGCGTAGAAACAGCGACGGGTCAGCAGTAGAGGGAGCGAACCCAAGAGCCGCAAGCGTCGTCCTCAGTGTGTCGTGCCACTCACGTGGCGCCTGGCGGAGACCGTAGACCGGCCGCTGAAGCCTCCACTGGGTGCCAGGAGGAACCGACCCAGTGAAGCCAGGAGGGCGGCGCAACCAGATCTCCTCGTGCAGGCTGCCCTGCAAGAAAGCAGTGCTGAAGTCAAGTGAGTGAAGCTCGTAGTCGCGGTGAGCGGCTATGTGCAGCAGCACCTGAAGAGTGGTCATCTTCGGGGTGGGGGAGAAGGTCTGGAAGAAGTCGACTCCCTCTCGCTGACTGAAGCCTCGAGCCACGTAGCGTGCCTTGAAGACAGGAGGAGAACCCGGCGGCCGCTTCACCCTGAAAATCCACATGCCACTGACGATGTTCGCCCCAGGAGGGGGAACCTGGTCGACGTAGGTGCCTGTGGACTTCCAGGAAGCCATCTCTGCGTCCATGGCTGTCTGCCACTGAGAGGAGTAGGGACCCGCCATCGCCTCAGCGTAAGAGCGCGGGGTCGGGATGTCTGGTGCATCCGGGTCTCCCTCAGGGGCAACAAGCATGGACACGAGATGGGGCAAAGCAGCAGCAAAGCACTGGAACTCCTCCTGTCTGTCCTCAAGGACGTCCGTGCCAAGAGCACACTCACCCCCGACGGACGGAGGACAGGCAGACTCAGACTCAGACTCAGCGACAAGGCTGGCAGCGTAGTCTAAGCGACAGCGAGCAGCAAAGTCAACCAACTCAGCGACCAGAGCAGACGCAGCAGAGGACTCAAAGGTCGGGTCAGTGACAACTGTAGCGAGGAGACGCGTAACAGTGGGACTGGCCGCACGACGGGAGTCAGACTCCGGGTCAGGAAGAGTAGGAAGAGAGGACGCAGGAGGAGACGGCAGCGGGACACGCTGCGGAGCAGTGGAGGGACGCAAAGTCATGTAGTGAGTGCCAGGGACAGGAGGAGGACGCTCACGCGGGACACGACGACCAGTGCGAGTAGTACGAACAGGCGACGCAGGACGAGACTCAGGCTCACGACGCTCTGTAAGACCTCCTGTGGGACCAATGTAAGGAGAGGGAGCAGGGAGAGGCGAGGCAGGCGGTAACTGTGACTGCGGCTGGACAGGCAGAGGACACTCGACGGAGGGAGGAGGACTAGGAGGAGGAGCCTGACCAAGAACCTGCTGAAGGAGCGGTACGAAGTACGGTCGCGGCCGCGCAGCGTCTCCAGAACCAGCAGGGACACCAGCGGCAGCCCCAACGCCCGAGTCCTCAGCACCAGCAGCAGCTCCAACACCCGGGTCCTCAGCACCAGCAGCAGCGCCACCGGTCGGGTCCTCAGCACCAGCAGTAGCTCCAACGCCCGAGTCCTCAGCACCAGCAGCAGCTCCAACGCCCGGGTCCTCAGCACCAGCAGCAGCTCCAACGCCCGGGTCCTCAGTACCAGCAGCAGAGCCACCGGTCAGGTCCTCAGCACCAGCAGTAGCGCCGCCGGTCGGGTCCTCAGCACCAGCAGCAGCTCCAACGCCCGGGTCCTCAGCACCAGCAGCAGCTCCAGCGTCCGGGTCCTCAGCACCAGCAACAGCGCCACCGCTCGGGTCCGCAGCACCAGGAGCACCACTCCGAAGACTGCAGCGCCGTGTGTACCACTCTCGGATCACCTGAATGGGGGGGAGCTCCTGGGTAGGAGGGGAAGTACTGGGACGAGCTCCAGAAGCACCTCTCCGGAGGCGGCAGTACTCGAGGTACCTCTCCTGCAGCTGCTGGGAGGAGAGGGCTCCTCCAGGTGTAGTACGCTCAGGCTCAGCACCCGAAGACTCAGCACCCCCAGACTCAGCACCCCCAGACTCAGCACCTCCAGGCTCCGCACCTCCAGGCTCCGCACCTCCAGGCTCAGCACCCCCAGGCTCCGCACCTCCAGGCTCAGCACCCCCAGGCTCCGCACCCCCAGACTCAGCACCCCCAGACTCAGCACCCCCAGGCTCAGCACCCCCAGACGCAGGACGCGAGTCAACAGCTACCTCGACAGGCTCACCCGGGTCTACCTGGGACACACCTGAGGGAGCGGCACCCTGAGGGGGGAGGGGGTCTGGTACCTCAGCACCTGGAGCGAGGAAGAGAGGCGGGGGGGGGAGCGGGGCAGTGCGGTAGGGGAAGAGGCGGTAGAAGGGGACGGACTCGTCAAAAGTGACGTCCTGAGAGGCCAGAACCCGGCGCGAGGTGACGTGGTAAAACTGCCATCCAGGCGCGTCAGGCACAAAGCCAAGAAAGACACAGGGAACGGCGCGACGCGAGAGCTTGTCCGCGGACGTGTCGCGGACAAAAGCTCGAGATCCCCAGACCCGGAAACGCGACGCATCGCCAACCTCTCCCGTCCACCGCAGAGTCGGGGAAGTCTCCGGCAAGGAGACACGGGGCCAGAGGTTGAGCTGATGCGCAGCGTATCGGACCGCAAACGGCCACAGAAAGTGGGGAGCAGCCGCATGGGTCAGGGAGGTACGAGCGACCTCCATGACTAGGCCAATGCGGCGCTCAGCGACCCCATTCTGCTGCGGAGAGGCCGGAAGCGTGAACGACTGCTCAATGCCGTGCTCAGCACAGTAGGCTGCCAAGAGGTCGGAGGCGAACTCACCACCTCTGTCAGAGTGCAAGCGCAGGACAGGAAAGTCCGAGTGAAAGCGCTTGCCTAGCTGGAGACGGGCTCGGCTGATCCAGGGGATCAAAACACCAGGGACGTCACCCTTGGCGCGCAAGGGGAAGACCGTGGTGTAGCGCGAGTAGTCGTCAACAACTATCAGGAAGTACCTCTTCTGACCCTGACCACGGACGCAGGCTGGGCCCCACACGTCCATGTGGAGCGTCTGCAAGGGAGCAGTCGTCGGGGGAAAGGAGGAGGAGTGGGGAGCGGCGCGCTGCCGCCCCTCGACACAGGGAATGCAGTCAGGAGCAGGGGAGTCGGGAAGGGGAGGGAGCACCCTGGGAAGACCAGCAACAAGGTCCCGTTTGTGCATGGCCCGAAGGCGCTGCACAGACGGGTGACCAAGGCGGTGGTGCCAGAGGACAGTCTCATGCGCCAGAGAGCGACACGAGCAGGGGGCGGACAGCTGACCTGACGCAGACGCAGACGCAGCTACCTGAGGGGACTCAGTGGTCAGTGTGTACAGGTCCGACCCCGGCTCTCGAGTGAAAGTAGCCAGGTGGCGGCCCGTCCGAGCACACGTGCAGTGTGTCACACGCTCGTAGGCAGGGGTGAACTGGTGAACACCCCCGTCCTGCAGCGCACAACCTGCCACCAAGTTCGTAGAGAACGAGGGGAGGTAGAGACCTGAGAGCGTGCCGGACGGAACCGCTGGACACGGAAGTGTAGTGGAGGAGGTCGCAATGACCGGACCCCCAGAGGGGTCAGCAAGAGAGACAGCAACCGGCCGAGCTAGTGGCTCAAGGACAGTGCGGTCACGAAAGAAAGAGCGAGAAGCACCTGAGTCCAGTGTGAAGGTGTGCAGTGCTGCAGTCGACTCAGTACCAGGGGGCACAGACGCACTAGCACCTAGGGCAGCTGCTGCAGCAGGACCTGTGGGAGCAGACACACTAGCACCTAGAGCAGCAGCTGGGCTGGCCTGAATGCCCGGGTCGGGCGGAACACGCAAGTACTGGGCACCCTCTCCACTAATAGACATCGCATACATAGCAGTGAGAATAGCATCAAAGTCTAAAGCCCAGATATCAACACCCTTCTTTTCCAGCTCAGGCCAGCGGGGGAGCTCAGTAGACCCAGGAAACTGGATGCGCCACGCGTCAGTCAGGCGCTGGAAGCAGCGCTGCGTGGGGTGCGGCCTCCCACATGGCTGGCCAGTGCGGTCACCAGTGCGGATGACGTACGTGCAAGTGTACCCACGCTGCGCGTACCACTCACGGGCGGCCTGGAGGGTCGGGGCGTGCTGCTGACTCTGGCCACCTCCAGCGTCTCCACGGCCACCACCACCACCGCCACCGCCACCGCCTCGGCCACCTCCACCCCTGCCACGGCCACGACCGCCACCGCCGCCGCTGCCACCTCCGCCTCTGCCACCACCCCCGCCGCCGCTGTCACCACCCCCACTGCCGCCACTAGCCTCTCCAGACCCACCGCCACCTCCACTGTCTCCACCCCCGCCTCCCCCGCCTCCACCCCCACCCTTGCCCCCCCTGCTCTTGCGGCGCCCGCTCGAAGCAGACGCAGCCCCGACCTTCTCAGCACCAAGGAGGTCGACAGCAGCAGCAGTGGCGACAGAGGGGAGAAGGGGGGAAGGGGAACACCCCTCGAAGAAGGGGGTGCGGGGCTCGCCACGAGAGGCACCTACGGCGACGATGCTCGCCTCAGCTGCAAGTAGGTCCTTCTCGAGGAGGGCAATGGTGAGCTCAGTAGGGGAGCGAGCTAGAAAGGAGTCCCTGACTGTGCGCAGAGAGTCAGGGAGGCGGGTGACAATGTGGTAGAGGGTGAGCCAGAGCGGGGGGGGGTTGCTAGCAAGGAACTCGGCAGGCATAGCAGCGCGAAAACGGGCCTCACTAGTCTTGAGGTGGGTGATGAGATCAGCGACAGTGTGAAAGGAGGCCAGGTCGGGGAACAGGTAGGGCAGGGAGAGGCGGCCTAGGGTGGCAGACGCAGGCGAGGAGTAGCGAGCAACTACGGCTGTGTACAGTTCCTTAGCAGTCTTGCACTGGCCGAAGTGCTCGCGCTCATCTAGCGGCAGGGAGTTGCGGATAGCAAAGCGAGCGTGTGCGTCGCGGGTCTGCCACTGGGAGCGCAGTGTGCTAGCAGCAGAGGAGTCAGGGGCAGTAGCATGGCCTAGGGCATGGTCGTACAGTGAAATGTCTTCCTTGGCAGTGAGCTGTAGGAAAAGGTGCAGATCATCGAGCCAGGTGTCAAATTTCACTGGGCGGCCCTCAGCGTCGAAGGCTAGAACAGGAGCAGTAGCCATGGTAGCAGGAGGAGGAAAAGTAAGTAATAAACGTGGCAGTGACAGTAGCAGCAGGGCAAGGCAGGGCCGGGGCAGTCGCGACAGCGGCGGCAGTTGCTGCAGGTTCGGCTACAGTAGGGACTGCAGGGCCGGCGGCGGCCGATGGAGTAGACTCGGCGGTTGCGGCTGCTGCAGGATCGGCGGCGGCTGCTGCTGCTGGGTCGGCGGCGGCTGCTGCTGCAGAGGCAGCGGCGGCTGATGCTGCTGTAGCTGCGGCGGCCGCTGCTGTAGATTGCGGCGGCTGCTGCTGCCGTAGATGCGGCGGCGGCCGCTGCTGTAGATGATGCGGCAGCTGCTGCTGCTGTAGATGCAGCGGCGGCTGCTGCAGAAGATGCGGCGGCTGCTGCTGCTGTAGCTGCAGCGGCGGCTGCTGCAGTAGATGCGGCGGCTGCAGCTGCTGTAGATGCAGCGGCGGCCGCGGCAGGAGAGGCGGCGGCGGCTGCTGCAGCAGTTGCGACGGCCGCGACTGCAGTCTCTGCCGCGGCTGTTGCTGCAGGCCCGACCGCGGCGACGAAGGCGCGGGGGGTCGAGCGCAGCACACAAGGCGCGCGGGCAGCGCGACGGGCCGCGCGCGAAGAAAAAGAACCGCGCGCGCTGGCGGCTAGCTAACCGCGCGCGAAAAATGGCCGCGCGCGGGCTGCTGGCTGGTCGCGCGCACGAAATAGGCCGCGCGCGGGCGGCTAGCAGATCGCGCGCGGTAAAAAAAAGATGGCGCACTAGGGGCGCAATAGGAGGCGCACTAGGGGCGCAATAGGAGGCGCACTAGGGGCGCAATAGGAGGCGCACTAGGGGCGCTTGATAGGTATGTAGGTAGGTAGGTAGGTGGGCCCTTAAGAACGGTCCTAGGGAAGGACCTGCTCTGAAACCATGTCAAGATTACGAGACTGGAATGAATGTGACTAAGAGAAACAGGAGTACAAATGTGAAACCCTAACTAGGTGTACCCCCTAAGGTATCACCCACTACAGGCTAGAACAATACAAACATATAATGTTTGACAATATGTCGTAAGTGTTAATGGTGTCATGCTATGCTGTAAGTGTCAATAGAGTTAAGCTATGTAGTAGATTTTCTCATTGTAAGGTCTTCATGTCACACTATCTACTCCGCCTTCTGCCCCCTTGCTCTGTCCGCGCCTGTTGTCACCCTCAGTGGCTTTGTAAATGACTCGGAGTACGCCGAGGCTTTTGCTTGAAGGATGTTCAGGCATTGGTTCTAGCTCACCCCACAATGGTGAGCTCATTTGTGTGTTGTTACTGTCTTCCGCTGGTCCTATTATTAGTCGTGCAGGCTGTGTTGTAGCTTGTGTGCTTTTCTCGAATGCATTTCTTCTGAAATTACATGGCAATTTTCATCTTTTTTTGAACGTTCTACTTAAGAATGTATCAAAAATATTATGATCTTGGCATGTGGAAGAGGTACAATATCGTAGCCCATGTCACCTCTCTCTTCCGTATAACTAATCTAACAGAAAGTTCAACTACCGTACTAATCCAACACATAAAACATGTCCCACCATCACATGAACTCTTATTGTCACAATCGGCTATTTCTATATATGCAGATATCTTCCAACCATCTTGTGGTATTCCTCTGCCATGGCCTTATAATTTGCCACCTGCCCTTCAAGATCCAAGACGATCTGCAATGGCAAGCAACAACAGTATTAGGAACGAATGATTTGTTGTAGATTTAACAGTTGTGAAGAACGAAGCCGGCGTACTATGATAATGAATAACTCACCTTATCCAGAGTTGTGTAACTGAGCATGCCAGATGCTTTCACCATTTTGTAAAGAGTGTCATAAGCCCCTTGTTGAAGCTGCGAAGCAAGCAAGAGGAAAATGTGTATGCGCACATGCAGATTGAGAAACAGGGAAGGAATTAAGGTCCAATTAATCTACATAGTCATGTAGTGGGACATAGTGGAAAATAATGAATCCAGGGAGAAACGAGAGATGGGTGGTTGGGGCGAGGCAAAAACCAAGGAAAGGAAAGTACAGAGATTATTTGATGCAAGTGCAGTGCAATGGGGCGTGAGGGAGGGACTGTCACGTGTGAGCGGTACGAGGCAGCAAGGGGGATACTTCACGAGAAGCAAAAGAAGTGCACTAAGGGTATCGGAGGTGGGACAACGAGAAGAGAAGTAGCAATGAGAGGGACATTATATGGGCAGTTGAGGTTGGGGGAAGTGTGGACTGGAGGAGTAGAGAGGGGGATGATGGGAGCATTGAGGGTGGCACTTTGATAACGTAAGGGCAATGAGGTGTGTGGCGGTATAAAATGTTCTGTAGGGAAAGCAAGACAAGGCTGTAGGCGCGGAAAGGTTAAAATGACTCACATGGTCCTCAAACTTGAGAACGACCTCAGAAAATTCGCGCTTTGCCGTTATTTCGAACATGCGCTGCCCTTTTTCAAGGCCGCGGATGCTCTGTAGGAGAATACGGTCAATTGGCTTGTAGACTGCATCAATAGGCACCAATGGGTCCTCCTTAAAAAAATACACCTGGTATAAAGTCAAGCAAAAACTAGAGTTAATACAGGTGACAAACTGAAAACGGTATGAGGAAAAATAAATGCACATACCAAACACTCACCATGTCCGCGTTGACGGCCAACAAAATTTCCTCCCCTTCCGGAAAGATCTTTTCGGACTGGCGGACCAGTTTGACGCAAAACACAGTGACCAGGGTATAGCCCAACCTCTTCACTTCGTATATGAACTTCTCTTTGGCATCCTCAGCTGACAATACGTCCTGTTGTGCTTGCGCATGTAAAAAAAAAAATAATAATAAAGAAAATGAAGAAAGAGCTTAAATTAAAAATGAAAAGAGAAAGAGAGCAAAAAAAGGGGGAAAAGGGGCATAATATAGAAGTTACTCACCGTGCATTGGTAAAATCCGCTGAAATCGTCTTCCCATTTCTTAGTGTCGCGAACAGATATTGGCACGTACTTCTTCACCTCCTCCAGATGTTCGAAGTATGTAGCTCCAAAGCGGACATACATCTGCAAGCTTGCAAGCCGTTGAGCCAGAAGAATCGTGATGGGCTCTTCAACGGTGAGGAATTGACGTTGAGCCTACAAGAAGCACAACCACGGCACAAGAAGAAAGTCGCATATGCATTAGATACCTTAAATACAAATTCAACAAAAGGACAATCGAACAAAGGTAAGTTACCTGCAAAAAGGATTCGTCGAGGGCGATTTTCCCCTCTAATTTCTCATCCTTGGGGAACTCCCTCTTGCGGAACACAACGAGCAAATCCACCCCAGGTGTTGCCCTTGCTCGAGCTGCTTTCCCCTCCATGTAATCTCCAACAAATCGCCAGTGGTTAATCCAAATGTAGCGTCGTGCATCCACCCTCCCCTCGACTTCAGAAAAGCCAAATGACACATAGGTTTCAAGGCCTATCCGTTTAGCCAGATCCTGCATGATTATTATGTCAACCAATGGGATATGAAGGGATGAATTATCCATACAATAGCTATGAAAACGTAACATTTTAAACTTACCACCCGGAGGTCGTTAAATGTTGTGTAGACGACGTAAGGAAGAGTGAACTGGGAGCCACCAAGAAGATGCACCGTCATCGATTTGTGCACATTAGAGTCCATAATCTCCATAATCTTAACCTCCTCGATTGAAGGGAGAAAATCCCTAATACCACAAGTGTCCACATCCTCCACCAGCTTCCACACGGCACGCGTCTCACGCCGCAACTCTTCGTTAGTCGTCGAATTGAACACTTCAAGAAGAAACTGTCTTATAGGAGACAAATCCGAGGGGTAGAAGAAGGTGAGACAACAACTCAGGAGTTTGCATGCCTTCAACACGTTCTCATCGCCTTTGTAAGTCCCGATGAGAGCCAAAAGTGTACCGTAGAAGTCAAGCAGCTTCCTCCCTCGAGCTACCTCCAAAATGCAAATCATCTCTTCTGCGCAAGCATCGCTCTCTGCTTGCCCAAACCAGGTTTCAACAAAAGCTTGAGCTTCAAGAGGTACATCAACATCCTGCCAGAAAGTGGGTGAATGTCATTAAAGTTGGACTTCAAAAAGCTACGACCAAATCTGGAGAGGCTACAAAACGAATTCAACAGATTCTTGAAGAATCAACATAAGGGAATTGATAATCGCATGTGCTAGATCATACCATGGCGAGTTGTGATTCTTCAATTCAGTAGAACTTAGAATTTGCGCCTTCCAAATCCCATATAGTTGAACCAATCTGCTAGTCGTAAAAGGAGATGAGTTAAAAAAGGTGACAAATGACAAGGATGAGTAAAAAATAACAAGGACAAAAGACATGAATGATTATGTACCACAACTCGTGTAGGCAGGATGGTAGGGAAAATCGTTTATTGGCTACAAGATCGAATACACACTGGTTCACCTAATGACTACTAATTTGGAGATTCGGGTGATGACTATTAAAGTGGAGATCCAGCTGGCGGTCCTCTGCCTGGGTTGTAACGATCTACAACTATAGGTGCCAACTACTACTAGTAAGAGGTCTGTGAATAGTCTGTGATAGACAATTGGTGCCGCGAAATCAGAGGGCAGGAGGGTGGGGGGCCAAGGGTATGCTCCGTGAGGTCTGAATAATGAGGCATATGTGTCGTCACGTTTATATCCAACATTTGGTGCCTGCACGTTTCTTCAGGTGTTGCTGTCTGGTGAAGCGGCAGGAAGGTTATTCCCTCCCTGCATAGGTCATCGAAGTGGCATCGCGTGGGTCGATTGGGAGTGCGTGCACCAAGAGATACATCGAAGCGGCACCGCGTGGGTCGATTGGGAGTGCGTGTGCCAAGAGATGTGACATGCGGTGCGGGAACCTAAATTTTGTGTGTCGGTTGGAAATGTCAAGGGTGATGGTGACGTGTGCTGTTCGGTCAATGGTGATTTGACACATCCTGACTTCGTCAACGGGGATGTGACGGTTCTTTGAACAACCTTCGAGGCGAAGCAAAGGATTTCGCCATGCTGAGCCTTCGCTCAGATCCAGCTGCTTCGCCACAAATCGCTAAGCTGGTTGCTGGGAAATTTTCGACTCTCGCATGGGGGCCAATTTGCGACAAACCTCCGAAATGCACTTCGCCTATGCGCGCCAATGCGTCTATTTGTGTGACGTTCTTTACGATGTGTACAGTATACTGCGTCCTGCCCGACCTGACCCCTTGAAGTCACGACGCTTACATATCGGAAGAAGCCCGTTTCCGTATTCCTCAAGCCCCAGTGACGTGATGTTTGTGTGCCCCTATGACAGCCCATTCATCCTAGCCTTGAACGTAAGACAGATCCAGAGTCCTCACGCGTCAGTAGCTCGAAATTTCCGACTCGCGCAATGCGTCTACTTGTGTGACGTTCATTACGACGTGTATACTGCGCCCTGCTTGACGTGACCCAGCTCATGAAGCTATGACGCATAATCGGGAGACGCTCCCTTTTCCGTACTCCTCAAGATCCTATGGCGTGACGTTTGTGTGCTCGTATGACAGCTCATTCATCCTACCCTTGAACGTACGGCAGATTCGGAGTCCTGTCCGACTCATTGACACCTTTCAAGGGTGTAACTATCTCAAAGCATCGATCTAGTCAAATCGCGTCAGTTGCTCGAAATTCCCGTACGACAGTGCGCGAGTCGCTCTCGAAAGAGGCCTATCGCATGCGACATCTGACAGTAGCAAGAGTTGCCTGGCACGAGCTACGACAGTCCTCGGCAAGCCTTGGGAGCGCCGATGGCAGATGCAGGCGGGATTCGATTTGACGGCGATACTAGCGAAGAGAGGGAGGACGAGAACAGAAGGAACGGGAGAAAATCTTCCGCTGTCGTCTTCACGTTCCGCTGCACATTCCGCTCCACGTTCCGCTGCACGTTCCGCTGCACGTTCTGCATGTTCCGCGGTCAACTTCGCGTTCCGCTGCTCATTATGTTGCACATTCCGCCGGCGCACAGGAGCGCAATAGAAAAAGGGAAGGGAGAAGAGGAGTGAAGGGCGGAGGGGGTTTGGAGGTGATTGGGCAGAGAGGGGGGATATGGGGACAGCGAGGAGTGGGACTGCGGCAGCAGGAGGGTCAGCTGTACGCGGGATTTAATGTTGGCTACTATTAGCCTTTAGTCCACTCTATGCGCACCACTTAAATCACACTAAGTGATCTCCACCGGGCCTCGTCCTTAGGTCCACGGTTCTCCAAGTGTACGCACTAGAGCGGTCACACACATTTAAATGCACAGCGTCTTGTTGATCAATTATATCGTCTCCCAAAATACTCTTCACGTCAATACGTTGAAAGAGGAACCAATTCTCATAGAATGATTCTGAAAAGGTTGATAACAAACAAGAACAAGCAATGATTTATACTAACCCACCGAAATCAAAAGCAAACAACCCACCGAAATGATAGCTAGAACCATACTCCGAAATGCCACCTTTCACCATGCGAAATCACTGGCAACATACTCGCCCTCACTTGATTCTATGGGCCATACTTGCTCGCGAACGCTCGTGGACACTCGTGGACGCTCGTGGCCGTTCGTGGCGACAGCTTCGTGACAGCTCACGGAATCTCCTGAAGAAATCGCGCAGTTACGCGACGAAATTACGAAATCGTCGAATTCCCCCTCGCAATTTTCGCATCAGCTTCGAAGTAAATCGTACACTTCGTGAAACACCCTGGCGAATTTTCTCCTCGGATAATGCAGCCAAAACACTCGAGGGTCCCACGAAATCCAGCCTGGACCCACGATTTCTCGGCTTTTTCCCTCGCGCCACCTGCACACACCACGCGCGCGTGTGGCGAATCCACCTGCAGCCTCAGGCCTCGCGTGTGCACATGCTGGCACACTCCCACGATTGCGCCAAATCACAATAGTGATTGGCACCCTTACAGAATCTTGACCAAACTCACTTACGAGCGAAATCCCAAGAACACTCATAAACAAACACAAACTTACGAATGCACTCACTAAAACACACTAAAACGCACCTCACAAACTTCACCAGAAAACTCATGGAATTTCACGAACACTTCACGAAACACGCATGAACATTCACGACACTTACACGAAAAAACTCGTGACGCGCAGAAAACACAAAATAACACGAAAGACATATGAAATCTCGGAACTCACACACAACATGAAAACACACGAAGAAACACAAACTTCGGAACTCACGAAATAACACGAACACATACGAACTCACATGAACTCTCACAGACACAGACCTTCACGAAAACGCTCATAACTCATGAACCGCTGAGGCGATTCACGAACCGTAAACACTCACACGTAAAGCACAAAAATGCACACCTCACAGAACTCAAATTACCTTTATCTCAAATTATGTTGCCCGTCGTGGGTGGTTGCTACGAACCACTCCAACATTTAAAGACCAGGGAGGCCCTTTGAGGACACAGCAGATGACTCAAGCTTCACCTTCCTGGAAGCTGCAGAGCAGGAGAGCGAGGAGGAGGAGGAGAAGGAGGTGTTCAAGATGGCACGGGTGGGGGGAGGCGATGTGACTGCTCAGGTTCAAGTGAGTGGCTTTCCGTTGTCTCTGCACTCGGTGTCGTGTCCGCACATGCTTTTATGCTCCCACTCCCATGCCTCTGCATGCAATGCTTTTACCAATGCATGCATTGCCATTCCCCCTTCATACTCCCTGTGGCCTTCACATGCAACATTCCCATGCATCCATAACCCTAATTCTAAACTCTCTGTGCTCGTATGTGTGCTGTGTTCGCTGCTGTGTTGCTGGTGCCTCCTGCATTGAGGACCAAGGACGCAGCAGCATTCTTGCCAAGGCACTGAGAGCAGAAGAGTCAATTGGGGTGGGAGGGCAGAAGAGTCTAGTAGGTCGCCGTGCGGCAAGTCTCAGACCTCGAGTGAATCTCTTCTCACTCCGTCTCCTCTGATGCTTCTGACGCACCCTTCTGTCCTGTCAGCTTGCTCCTGTCTTGTGCGCTTTGCTGCTGCGAGGGTCAACACATCTCCGGAGCGATGGGAGGTCGGGAGAAGGGCGGAGGGAGGTTGGCAGAAGGGCGGAGGGAGGATGGCGGAGGGGGGAAGGGCACATGCATGGGTGCTCAGCGTCACTCAGGAGGAGTACAGGCACTCGCATGGGTGAGCGTATCTTCTTCCATGCATGCATGCACTCGGCCATGTGTATGTTATCCCCATGAGAACACACGCACACGTGCGTTCATGCATGCACACACACACACGCATGATTACCCCCTCAGGTGCCCCCTCGGGTATCACTTCAGGTACGCCCTCAGTTGTCCCCCCAAGTAACAGTTCAGGTATCCTCTCAGGTGCGCCCTCAGGTAACCCCTCAACTACTGTTTGGGTGTAACTCATTTCAATTCATGTCCCTATCTCTTACACCAGATTTCTCCATTGCTTCCTCAGTTCCTCATGCCATATCAATCACTCTGCTTCACAGTAATGACCTACATTGTACCCCCACCTTCTCCTCTTTCTCCCTTCCCTCGTCCCTCTCCCCCTTCCGTACAGACAGGTGCCTGTCACGGGAGGAGCGACCAAGAGGAGAGTGTAGGGTGAATGTGGGAGCAGCGATGCAGCACAGTCATCACCTGACGGGGGCGTGCACACGGAGAGTGTCTGTTCGGGGTTCGTGCCCCCAAGTGGTCAGCTCCATTCGCCTTGGTCGATCTTTATCTCTTTAGCTTTTGCGTTGATTGCTCTTGTTCTTGTGCCAGCTTATTTCTTGCTGTAGAAACTTGTCACCTCCCCCAGTGCAGCAGTGTCATGCTGCGTTCATGCACTCGTCCCATCGTTCTTGTCCCCCAATGCACTCGTCCCATCGTTCTCTCCAGCACATTTTTTTCTCTTCTTCTTCTTTGGCGCACGCGAAAGCGATCCATGTAGCCGCATTTCCAGGACAAGTAACGCCGGACGCGCTGATTTCCGCCGTTGCTCGTTTTTTAGGATTCTATTGGTTTGTTACAAACAACTCTAATGAAAGCCTGATTCATACAGCCGCCTGTCTAGCACAGACGCCGTAGGGTCCACTGCTTTCAGTGCTGCTTTGAGCCCTGACTGCTCAAGGTGTGGTATATCTCACGAACCATCCACCGATTCCTTTTTCTCCACCCCCCCTCATCCCACGGACTCGATTGTGAGGCAGCAACCTGTTCTTCATGACTTGAGACGTCTTGCAAACCATCCACTGCTGCAGTCCACTCCCGCCCATTACTCCACAGAAAAGCAACTAGCAACTATTTCCCAGCCTTCATGTGCCTCTTTCAAATCAAGAACCACCCACCGCTGCATTTCTTTCCCCCTTTCTCCCTCCATTCTTCCCCATCATCCCACAGAAACGCAACTGGGGCAGCAACCTGTGTCTGGTAAGCCTCCCGGCCTTCATGTGCATCTTCCACTTCCTCATCCAACTCCTCATCACCAACGTTCTCAACGCGCGCTTCAAGTGCGGCTGTGGCTGCCCCACCGAATTCAAAAACCCCGACGGCTCCCGACGAGCATGGAACGGGACATACCCATGCTTCAACTCGGTGCTATACACGGGACAAAACTGACGAATTGCTGACAGTGAGTGGCTGGTATTACCGGGGTGGGATGGGTGAGTGGGCTATGTTGCGCCTGACGCCCTGGAAGGGCAGCGTCCAGCGACTTGACGGTCACGTCCGGACGCTGGACGCGTCAAACAGGTTTGACGCTGGACGTTCGGGAAAAAAAAATTCGGGCAGCCCGAAAAAAAATCCGCGAAATTGACGCGCGATTTCATCGCGATTAGAATTGTGATGAAATCGAAGTATGGGTTGCGTTTTTGACCTACAAAAACGCAACCCTCGTTTATTCCCCCCCACACATTTGTACCCATCCAAATCTACTTCTCCCAACCAGGTTGACCTCCATCTAAACTAGAGATCCAGATCCAGGTGGACATTACACACATCTGTTTCTCTCCACATTGCCTAGCATACCTGCACCTAGACTCCGCCAGTCATGCTACTAAGTCTTCCTAGCTCAATTTAGGTTAAGACGATTAAGTTATCATGTCAACTCCTAGTCCCGCCGGTCATTCTGGTGGTAGTGGCTCCACACCACATCTTCTTAGGAGATTTTCAGGAATTTCTAGATTTTCTGAAGTATTTGTAACTTTAGGTGACCTTGTTGCATTCTAACCCCCGTGTAGCCTTACTAGGCAGGTTTTATTTATCTCTGCCCGGGAAAAGTTTTGCCCTGCCCGGACTAGCGTCAAGCGGGCGTCCAGGGTAGAGGAACCCGGGCGTCAAGCGTCTGGACGCCCCGTCCAGACGCCAGCGTCAAAAACGCCTGACGCGTCAGGCGCAACATAGTGAGTGGGTAGGGAGAGTGCATTGTCGACGAGTCTGGAGGGCAACGGGGACGTACCCGTGCTTTAACTCGGTGCTATGCACGGGACAGAATGGGGACAGACTCGCATAGCTGACGGTGATGGGATTGCTGGGCTGGGATGGGTGAGTGGGTAGGTAGAGTGAGGAATCGACGAGCATGGAGGGCAACGGGATGTACCCGTGCCATACATCGGTGCTATACACGGGACAGAATGGGCGCATTGCTGACAGTGAGTGGCTCGGATTGCTGGGGTCGGATGGGTGTGGGGAAAGGCAACGGGACGTATCCGTGCTTTCACATGCTGCTTCAATATGGTCCCCTACACGCGACAGAACAGGCGGATTGCTGACAGTGACTTGTGGCGTGCCTCTCTCCACCCTCCAATCCGCCAAGCAAGAGGAAAGCTCTGCCAATCTCTTCCGCTCTGCCAATCTCTTCCGCTCCCCGCACCACTTCACTCTAACTCTCCTGTGTTTCGCTATCACCCCCACCCCACACCATCCCCTCTCCCCCTGCAGGCATAGGCTCCAAGCTCATCCCGGACGTGCCTCTTTTCTCCCTCCAAACCGCCAAGAAGAAGCAAAGCGTCATGCTCTACCTCACCTCCCTTTGCTCTCCCATATGTCGCTATGGTGGCGGCGCGCTGGGGGGCATGGCGGGCAGGTTCGGCAACATGACGAGTGCAACCGTCATGTTGGGCAACGCCAAAGTTCGGGTTGCACTCGTCATGTTGCCCAACGCGACGAACTTTGGCGTTTTCAACTTCACTAACACGTCTTACATGATCCCAGTGTATGTTTTTTGAGAAATCTCAAAAAACTTCGGCGTTTTCAACTTCACTAACACGTCTTACATGATCCCAGTGTATGTTTTTTGAGAAATCTCAAAAAACTTCGGCGTTTTCAACTTCACTAACACGTCTTACATGATCCCAGTGTATGTTTTTTGAGAAATCTCAAAAAACTTCGGCGTTTACAACTTCACTAACACGTCTTGCATGATCCCAGTGTATGTTTTTTGAGAAATCTAAAAAAACTTCGGCGTTTTCAACTTCACTAACACGTCTTACATGATCCCAGTGTATGTTTTTTGAGAAATCTCAGAAAACTTCGGCGTTTTCAACTTCACTAACACGTCTTACATGATCCCAGTGTATGTTTTTTGAGAAATCTCAAAAAACTTCGGCGTTTTCAACTTCACTAACACGTCTTACATGATCCCAGTGTATGTTTTTTGAGAAATCTCAAAAAACTTCGGCGTTTTCAACTTCACTAACACGTCTTACATGATCCCAGCGATCACATACGATATGGCGTATGTGCTGCCCGGCTCTAGCACCCTGCGGGGGTGGTCGCTGTATACGGAGGAGGCGCTGGTGGGGTCGGCAACAACGGGGAAAGCTGGTGGGGTCGGCAACAACGGGGAAAGCTGGTGGGGTCGGCAACGACGGGGAAAGTGCGGAACGTGACGATTTATCTGATTCAGCCCAGCTGCGCGAAATACGCACTGCTGCCGCAGAGCTCCAACATTGCATTTTCTGGCTTCAACATGACCATCCGTGAGTTGGGGGATTCAGGAGTGATGGGTATGCCTCGTGGGTATGGCTCGTGGGTATGCGGGTGGAAATGACGTGTGCATAGCAAGCAGCTAGCTGCCTCAGAGATGCTCCAGCATCGCCTTCTCCGGTTTCACCATGACCATCCGTGAGTGGGGGTTGGGGGGTTGGGGTTCAGGGTTGATGGGTTCGGCTCGACGTGGTTGCTGGTTGAGAAGCTGTGTGGGTAGCTCTCCTCCTCGACATCCAACATAAACGATGACCTTTACAAGGGGTACTACCAGGGCAACCCCTCCGCCATCCCCAACCAGTACATGTCCGCCTACGACTTCCGAAACTCCTCCTCCTCGCTCTTCTGCGCCCACATCTGGTACAACGCCTCCTTCTCCCGCGCATTCGCCCTTGGCGGCTCCTCCGCGCTCATCCGCTTCCCCCGCTCCATGAACCTCGCGGTCAACGCGTTTGTAAAGGCGCTCCTCAACCCGAACGCGACCATTCCTCTCCTGTACTTGAAGGATTTTCCGCGGCCGCAGGATTCGGTGGGGTTGGACTCCGCGACGCTGCTGGGGCCGCTGTTTTACCTGTGGATGCTGCAGCTGTTGTATCCGGTGTTCACGTCGAGCCTGGTGTATGTGAAGGAGAAGAATCTGAGGATGATGATGCGCATGCATGGGCTCAAGGACGGGCCCTACTGGCTCATCTCCTACTCCTACTTCACCATCATTTCCATCATCTTCATCGCTGTCTTCCTTATTGCCGGCTCCTTATTCGCAAGTGCACGTGTGCATCCCTGGCTGCCGCGCAGCTGCTAACCTACGGCGTGCTCATAGTCATGCAAATCTCATTCTTGGTCCTCACCTCGTTCTGTCTCTCTCTTCTTACCTCTCTCTCATCCCCATCTATTCCCACTTGTGCAGAGCTGAAAATGTTCACGGCCAGTCCAGTAGGCCTGCAGCTGCTGGCCTAGGGGGTGTTCATCTTCATGCAGATCTCCTTCTCCCTTCTCACCTCCACCGCATTCAACAACTCCAAGGTTGCAACGGTCGTGCTGCTACTTCTACCTCCACTTAACCTGTTTCCTTCCCTTCTTCCCACCTTCCCTTCCCTCCCTTCCCTCCCCAGAGCTGAAAATGTTCACGGCCAATCCAGTAGGCCTGCAGCTGCTGGCCTAGGGGGTGTTCATCTTCATGCAGATCTCCTTCTCCCTTCTCACCTCCACCGCATTCAACAACTCCAAGGTTGCAACGGTCGTGCTGCTACTTCTACCTCCACTTAACCTGTTTCCTTCCCTTCTTCCCACCTTCCCTTCCCTCCCTTCCCTCCCCAGAGCTGAAAATGTTCACGGCCAATCCAGTACGCCTGCAGCTGCTGGCCTACGGGGTGTTCATCCTCATGCAGATCTCCTTCTCCCTTCTCACCTCCACCGCTTCAACAACTCCAAGGTCGCAACGGTCGCCTGCTACTTGTACGTGTTTGGCTCAAGGCTCATGGCCAACTTCCTCTTCCGCCTCTTCCTCGACTCTGAAAGCTCTTCAAGTGAGTAGAGAGTCACACATAGTCAAGGCAGGTCAAGCAGAGTCAACCCGAGTCGAACCAGGCAAGGCAGGTCAAGCAGAGTCAACCCGAGTCGAACCAGGCAAGGCAGGTCAAGCAACCCGAGTCGAACCAGGCAAGGCAGGTCAAGCAGAGTCAACCCGAGTCGAACCAGGCAAGGCAGGTCAAGCAGAGTCAACCCGAGTCGAACCAGGCAAGGCAGGTCAAGCAGAGTCAACGCAAGTCAACAACTCCAAGGTGGCCATCGGCGCCTGCTACTTCCATGTGATCGCCCTCGAGCTCATCCCCGCCTTCTCAATCTACCACTGCCTCTACCTCATAAGTCAAATGTGACCAGACCATGTCTCTTTGGTCACTCATTCTCCATCCCTCTCTCCCACTCTCTCCCCCCAATACCAGCGGGAGCGTTGATCGCCCTACAGCTCATCCCCGCCTTCTCCATCTACCACTGCCTCTACGAGTTCGCCTCGTGGGCTTACAAACTCAGTTCTTCCTCTCTCTCCCCCTTCCCTTCTCCCACCAACAGCCGGAGCGTTGATCACCCTCCAACTCATCCCCGCCTTCTCCATCTACCACTGCCTCTACGCCATTGAGGAATCACAAACTCATTTCTACCTCTCTCTCCCCTTTCCTCTCACCCACTACCAGCCGGGGCGTTGATCGCCCTACAGCTCATGCCCGCCTTCTCCGTCTACCACTGCCTCTGCTCCATTGGGGACTTACAAACTCATTTCTACCTCTCTCTCCCCTTTTCTTCGCTCCTTTTTCCCTCCCCCCACCACCAGCCGGAGCGTTGATCGCCCTCCAACTCATCCCCGCCTTCTCCATCTACCACTGCCTCTACGAGTTCGCCTCGTCAGCATACGACACAGCCGTGATGAACGGAGCCGGCACGCTGACGTGGCAGTCAGCCCAAAACGCGGGATTCTTCGCAGCAGTGCTCATCCTCCTTATAGAGGCGCTCGTTTTCCTGCTAGTGGGGTTGTATCTGGACCAGGTGGTGGCGGTGGGTAGCAGCGTGCGGAAGCATCCTCTGCTGGGGCTGCAGAAGCTGTTCAAGAAGGGCAAGAGGAATGATGCAGAGGCAGGATGCGAGGAGGAGCAGTGTGATGGAGGAGGGAGCGGGCGACAAGGACAAACCGGATGTGGTGGAAGAGGTACGTTCCTCTTTTTATTTTGTTGTGCCTGTGACGCGAGAGCTCCCATGCCCCCATCTCTCTTCCTCTCCCCACCGATGGTCCTTTATTGACAAGCAAGAAGTTTTACATCACTATGTCTCTCCCCCCTGTCTTATTCCCACTCTCCTCCTTCCCAACTTTCTCCCCATTCCCACAGAGAGCCCTGTTGGATCCCTGCTGCATTCCGACTCGGAGCAGCTGCCGTCCTCCCCGCACTACTCCATCATCTGCGACCGTCTCAGGAAGGTGTATCCGGGCCGAGACGGCAACAAGCAGAAGGTGGCCGTGCGGGACCTCTCAGTCGCCGTGGCGAGGGGGGAGTGCTTTGGCATGCTGGGGCCGAACGGGGCGGGCAAGACAACCACACTGAGCATGATGATGGGGTTCCTGCAACCGAGCGAAGGCGCGGCGATTATTGAAGGCATGGGGATTGTGGACGATATGGACGCGATTTACTCCATCATGGGCGTGTGCCCTCAGCACGAGTGAGTTTGGGTGCGGTTGAGTGCGGTTTGGGGGGCTTTAATGTGGTTTCAAAGGGGTGCAGGGGCCGAGTAGCATTGTGAACGAAACTCGATAAGTCAATGTTGAGATTCCGTGACTCACCCCACTCCTCCACTCCCCTCTCCCCTCTCCCCTCTCCCCTCTCCCCTCTCCCCTCTCCCCTCTCCCCTCTCCCCTCTCCCCTCTCCCCTCTCCCTCTACCCCTCTCCCTCCCCTCTACCCTCTCCCCTCTACCCTCTCCCCTCTCCCCTCTTTCCTCTCCTTTACTCCAGCCTGCTCTGGGAGCAACTGACAGGCAGGGAGCATCTGCTCTTCTACGGGCGGCTCAAGAACCTGCGCGGGCAGGAGCTGAAAGACGCCGTGGAGAAGTCCCTCAAGAGCGTGAACCTGCTGGCAGGGGGCCAAGTCTCACCTCACTCCTTCGCCCGTTTCTAACCCACGCCCACCTCTCCCTGCCTCTCTCCTCTTTCCTCTCCCTTGCTCCAGCCTCCTGTGGGAGCAGCTGACAGGCAGGGAGCACCTACTGTTCTACGGGCGGCTGAAGAATCTCCGCGGGCAGGAGCTGAAAGACGCCGTGGAGAAGTCCCTCAAGAGCGTGAACCTGCTGGCAGGGGGCGTGGGGGACAAGGTGTCCGGCCAGTCCAGTGGCAGCATGAAGAGACGCCTCAGTGTCGCCATCTCCCTTATAGGCAACCCCCTTGTTGTGTATATGGATGAGCCCAGCACGGGGCTGGATCCCGCTTCAAGGAAGCTTCTGTGGGACGTGGTGAAGAAGGCTGCTAAGAAGGACCGAGCGATCGTGCTGACGAGTGAGTGTGCCAGCCTTCTCACCCCTTCTCACTCTTCCCAACCCTTTATCTCACTCTTTCTCGCTCTTTCTCGCCCTTTCACACCATTCAACTTGCGAAAGTGATTCCAACTTCCTCATCTCTTCTTGCACACGTTTTCTCTAAACCAAATCCCCCAACGTACCACTGTGATGAACCAGCCTCACCCCCTTTCTCCTTAACTCGCTTCTGCCCTCTCTATCTACAACCCCACCAGCCCACTCTATGGAAGAAGCCGAAGCTCTCTGTGACAAACTGGGCATTTTCGTGAGTGGGTGCATTCAATGTCAAACTCACCCTCCCCTCTCCTCGCTCCTGTTCTCCCCCCCCTAAACCCTCCTCCCCTGTTCCTGTTCTCTCCACAACCCCACCAGCCCACTCTATGGAAGAGGCCAAAGCTCTCTGTGACAGGCTCGGCATTTTCGTGAGCGGGCAGTTAGAGTGCATCGGCAACGTGCGCCAGCTCACCACGCGTTACGGCGGGACGTACGTGCTGACGGTTACCACACCTCTGGAGGAAGAGGAGAACATCGGGCGGGTCGTAAATTCCATCTGCCCGAACGCGAAGCGTATCTACAGCCTGGCAGGCACGCAAAAGTTTGAGATGCCCATGGCTGAGGTGGAGGTTGCAGATGTGTTTGCGACGATTACTTCGGTGCGCAACCAAATGTCGATTCGGACATGGTGTTTCCCCAACACGACTCTGAAAGACGTGTTTATCAAGATTGCCAAGACTGCCCAAGCAACGCCGGTATAATTATGCCACACTAGTGCTGGATAGGACCAAGGGAACGGAAACAAGCTGTACACCCGTTTCCTCGTTGTCCCCATTGTTACTGTTAAGGGGGGATTTACTGTTCATTCCGAACAGTACTTTCCAAGTCACCCTTATCCTTATCTTCTCAGATTCTCTAGTGCCACGTGGCACTCTACTTTTCTTGCACTACAATTCTTGGTCCCACAATCCACTTTCCAACCTTGTTTCTTGCATGCTATAAAAACCTTGCTTGTACTTTGCATTATCAACCAATTCTCATTCAACTCTTCTTCAATTACTCAGTAACTCCTTCGCCTATTTCGCTAGTAGTTCTTTCGCCAAAGTCTTCCGCCGCGCTTCATCCTCGACTTAGTCGACCCCGCTAATTCTTTAGCGGATTTAGGCCAGCGGGCCTAACACTTGGTATCAGAGCCTTCGCGGGGAGCGACTTCTGTCAGAATGTTGTATTTGTCTAGCCTGCAGTGGGGTACTCTATAGCGAGTACAGCCCAATCTAGGGTTTGCTATTTGTATCCCCATTCTTACTAGTGCAACCCCTCCTTTGTTCATTTCTTGCTTGCCTAGCTAGGTCAACCCTAGCTATGGCTTCTCACTGTCCTTACTATCTTGACATGGTATCAGAGCAGGTCGACCCCCTTGGGTCGATCCTGTGGGTGGGCCCACCACCTAATGCTTCCGCTGCTGTTCTACTTGTCGCGCGCCTCGGTCGCGCGACGCCTCCTTCCTGCCGTACGCTCGGGGCGTGCGGCGGTTTTCTGCCTACCGTGCGCCCCGAGGCGCGCGGCGGTTTCCCACCGTCGAAGTGCCCCCCGTCGCCCGTCGAAGCGCCCCCCCCCCCCCCCCCCCCCGTCGCCCGTCGAAGCGCCCCCGTCGCCCGTCGGAGCGCCCCCCGTCGCCCGTCGAAACGTCCCCGTCGCCCGTCGAAGCGCCCCTGGGACCCGCGCGCGGCCCGTACGGGCTGCGCCAGGCCCGCGCGCGGCCCGTACGGGCTGCGCCTGGCCCGCGCGCGGCCCGTACGGGCTGCGCCAGGCCCGCGCGCGGCCCGTACGGGCTGCGCCAGGCCCGCGCGCGGCCCGGGCAGCCCGCGCGCGCCTCGTCCCGCCTGCGGCAGACCCGTGCGCGCGCCTCGTCCGTCCCCCAAGCTTCTGTCGGCGCCCCACCCCCGCTACTGCCCGCGTTCCTGTGTTAGGGTTTGGGGGTGGCGGGTGTGGGGGTGCCGGTTGTGTGCCCCGTCCCCTCCTTCTCCTCCTCCTCCGTCTCCCGCTGCTGCAGCTGCCGCTCAGGGGGGTGGGTGTGTGGGGAGCCGACGGAGTGGTACTAGGGGGGTGAAAGGGGAGTGGAGCTAGGGGCGAAGCAGGGGGTGTGTGTCGAGGGGTGTGGGACTGTTGGGGGAGGTTGAGCGGAGGCCGCCGTCGTGTCGTCTGCAGCACAGGGAGACGGAGGAGGAGGAGGAGCAGGGAACGGCACACAGAAGCTGCACCCCCATACCCCCCACCCCCAAACCCTAATCCAGGAGTACGGGCAGAAGGAGGGGTGGGGCGCCTTCAGAAGCACGGGGGACAGCGGGGAGGACAGGGGCAGCGAAGAACGGGCCGCCCACGGGTCTGGCACAGCCTCCCGAACCGCGCGCAGGCGGCCCGAGCCGCGCGCGGGCCTGGCGCAGCCCGTACGGGCCGCGCGCGGGCCTGGCGCAGCCCGTACGGGCTGACAACTTCTGACAACTTCCAACGAGCGACCGTCGACGACGAGACAGCGACCGTCGACGACGAGGCTACGACGTCATCGTCCCGCGGTGCCGACTTGCAGACTTGGAGTCGTCGAGCGAACATGGACGAATCCATGAACGCTTTCCCCCACGACATGGGCAACACGCTTGCCGAGCTCATGCGTCAACTCGAAGAATTGACGTTCGAAAATCGTCAGGTACGAGCCGAAATGCAACAGCTTCGCAATTTGGCTTCTAACCCCCATGGCCTTGCCGCACCAACTCCTGCACCCACCACGTCGACTGGCGCGGAAGCGCTGCCGGAACGTCGAAGCGCACTCAAGCCGCAGAAGCCCGAGTCGTTCGATCCAAGTCAACGCGACGCGAACGTGCGGACGTGGCTCTTCATGCTCAACAATTACTTCGCCGCGAGCGGGGTGCAAGAGGCGGACGCGCAGCAGCGGATCGAGTACGCCGTAACGCTGCTGAGGGGCCCGGCCTTGGAGTGGTGGCGCCAACTTACGCAGACTGCTGTACGGAGGGCTCAGTTAGACGGGCATCAACAGGGCGTGGGGCATGCAGCTGCAACTTCGAGCTTAGGGAGTTTAGCTTTGGGTGTTACCACGGTTCCGACGACATGGGATGGATTTGAAGCGGCGCTGAAAAGTAGGTTCGATTTGGTGAACGCCTCCGAAGCTGCTAGGAAGCGTCTGCGTCATTTCCGACAGATAGGAAACGTCCAGGAGTACACACGACGGTTCTTGAGCATCTGCAACGAGATAGACGACATCACGGAAGCAGAGATGCGCGATCGCTACCTCGAAGGGTTGAAGCCGGACATAGCGGAGATTATTGCGATTCACGGGTTGTCCACCTTCGAGTCAGTAGTCGCAGCAGCAGAACGCGTCGACGCAGTACGAAGCCGACGGGGTCGTGACGATCGCGATAGGGGATACAACAGACCGATCAACGACGCTCGATCGAGGGACGGACCGTCGCCCATGGAGATTGGTGCAGTTAACAGTGACGGCTCACAGCGCAACGGATTTAGGGGGAACTGTCACTACTGCAAAAAGCCGGGACACATGAAGCGGGACTGCCCACAGTTCAAGGAGCGGCAGCAGGGAAACGGAAACCGCCAGTAGATAGCGGGTCGCTAGCTGGTGTGGAGGTTCCCGTACCCGCCAGGTCTACCAACGTAGAGGAGACGGCCTCGCAGCAGTCATCTACGGAGAACGAGGTAGACACTGTTGATCGTCCAGTCGTGCTTCTAGGGAAGCTTCGCGGAGTTCCTGTTAAGATTCTCGTCGATAGCGGAGCTAGCCACTCGTTCGTTTCGTCTTCATTAGTTAGCCGTCTCCATCTTGAAGCAGATTCCTCAGTCAACTTCAAGGACGCACGTATGATAGATGGGACGCCTCTCCACATAGGACCAGTCATTCGCAAGTTGCGCGTAGTGCTAGGACCGATCACAGTTAGGCGTGACTTCGACTCTGCGACGCTGGACGGTTACGATTTCATCTTCGGGAGAGATTGGCTACGGACGGTTAGTACTCAGTTCGATTGGGCTCAGGGAAGCTGCAGCGTCAAGGTAGACGGGGAGTTCCGGGAGCTGCCACAGTGGAGCGATGGGGCCACATCATCCACAGCGATCATCAATGCTGTTCGTGTGCGACAGCTGGTGAAGCGAGCGGCACGGATCTTCGCGGTTTTCCTTGAGGAGGTGGAAGCTGAGGAGGGGAAAGGAGGGAGCGCAGCAGTTAGTGAGAAGGCGACTCTTCCTGCTGAGGTGAGTGCACTGTTAGCGGAGTTCGCAGACGTCTTCCCCGACGAGTTGCCCCCAGGGTTACCTCCTAGCCGAGCAGTCGACCATCGAATAGAGTTGGAGCCGGGGAGCAGGCCAGTAGCAAAGCCGCAGTGGAGGTTGAGTCCAGCAGAGACAGAGGAGATGACGCAGCAGGTTAGGCACTTTCTCGCACAGGGGTTCATACAGCCATCTAGATCGCCTTGGGCCGCACCGATCCTTTTCGCACCCAAGAAAGACGGAGGGTTACGGATGTGCATAGATTACCGCGCACTGAACGCCGCCACCGTTAAGAATCGATTCCCGGTGCCGAGAGTAGAGGATCTTCTAGATGCAGTGCAGGGCGCTAGAGTCTTTTCTAAGATCGACCTTCGTTCGGGTTACCACCAGATTCGCGTAGTTCCAGAGGACCAGCACAAGACGGCGTTTCGTACGAAGCAGGGGTTGTACGAGTTTAGGGTTCTACCGTTCGGACTGACCAACGCCCCAGCGACGTTCCAGACGCTTATGAACACCGTCCTCTCCGAGTTCCTAGGTTCGTTCGTTGTCGTTTACCTAGACGACATACTCATCTTTTCCAAGTCGAAAGAGGAGCACGTGCAGCACTTGCAGAGGGTCTTTGAGGTCTTGCGGAGGGAGAAGTTGTACGCGAAGCAGTCGAAGTGCGAGTTCTTTCTCCCCGAGGTCGAGTTCCTAGGACACGTCGTATCCGCTAGTGGCGTTAGGACCGACCCGAAGAAGATCGCAGCGGTACAGGATTGGGTAGCACCGACCTCAGTCAAGGAGTTGCAGAGCTTCCTCGGTTTCGCGAATTACTACCGTCGTTTCGTTCAGGGTTACGCTTCCATCGCTAGTCCACTCACCGACCTACTTCGGAAAGGCGTAGAGTACGTTTGGGGTCCAGCGCAGCAGCAGGCGTTCGAGCAGATGAAGCAGTCGCTCACGTCTTCACCGACACTGTCGTACCCCGATCCCACTCGCCCGTACGTTGTAGTGACCGACGCTTCCGATCAGGCCATAGGAGCAGTGCTTCTTCAGGACCAGGGACGCGGGTTGCAGCCGATCGCGTACGAGTCGCGTAAGCTTAGGGGAGCGGAACTGAACTATCCGATACACGACAAGGAGGCGCTAGCGATCATCCATGCGTATAAGGTGTGGAGGTGCTACCTAGAGGGGGCAGACAGTGTTATACGCACGGACCACTGCTCGCTTCGCTTTCTCAAGTCGCAACCGCAGCTGAGTCGTCGCCAGGCTAGATGGATGGAGTTCATGGAGGGGAGCTTTCATTACAGGATAGAGTACAAGCCAGGCGTGCGCAACCCAGCAGATCCGCTCACTCGCCCTAGTTGTCAGCTCGCTAGCCTCACAGTCACAGCGGCCAATCCACTTCTCACAGCACTCTTTGAGCACGGTTACACAGTAGATCTCGAGTTCACACCGCAGCCGCCCGCACGAGCAGAGGCGCAGGGTAGTGTTTACATATGGAAGGGCACCACACGGATTTGGGTTCCAGCCTACCGCCCTCTTCGACAGCTCCTTCTTTCCGTGAGAGGCGCACGACGTAGTTAGTGCAGGTCACTTCGGAGCAGACAAGACGGCTAAGACGCTTAGTCGCACGTACTACTGGCCAGGGCTTGCAGCAGACGTAGAGGATTACATTCGCTCGTGTGACACGTGTCAGCGTACGAAGTCCTCGCGACAGCGCAAGGCAGGACTTTTGCAGCCGATTCCACCGCCCGACCGCCCTTGGCAGGTAGTTACCATGGATTTCATCATGGCATTACCGCGCACAGTTAGGGGTCACGACGCCATCTTCGTTGTAGTCGACAAGTTTTCTCGAGCAGCGCACTTCATCCCCACGCACGGCCAGGTCACAGCAGAGGAAGCCGCGACGCTGTTTGTAGATAACGTAGTTCGACTGCACGGGGTTCCCGATTCCATCATTTCCGATCGCGACCCTAGATTCACCTCGAAGTTCTGGAAGCAGCTTTTCGCACTGTTTGGGACTCGCTTAGCCATGTCGTCTGCGTACCATCCAGAGACAGACGGACAGACTGAGCGCGTGAACCAGACCTTGGAGCAGATCCTTCGCAGCATCACGATGCACGATGCAGCAGCATGGGACAAGAAGCTGAGCATGGCTGAGTTCGCCTACAACAACACGCATCATTCCGCCACAGGCATGTCACCGTTCTTTGCACTGTACGGTCAGCACCCCAATGTCCCCACTCGTGTCGATCTCACACCCACCGTCCCTCGTGCGGACAACTTCCACCAGCATCTCACTTTCATTCATGATCACGTGAGGAAGCACCTTGAGCTTGCAAATGCACGCATGGCACGCACCACCAACCGCAGTCGTCGTGAGGTGTCGTTTTCAGTTGGTGACCGTGTCCTTCTCGACAGCCGCAACCTCCGACTGCCACAGGACAGCAAGCTTCGCCCACGTTTCATTGGTCCATTTGTCATTGAGCGCGCACTTGGTCCAGTCGCATACCGCCTTCGCCTTCCCGCTCATTTCCGCATGCACCCATCATTCCACGTGTCTCTCCTTCGGCCTTACACTGATCCCAACACCACCTTCTCGGGCCGTGATCGCACTCCACTGCCGGTAGCTGTTGACACCGACGAGCCCGACTACCAGATCCAGCGCATCCTCAGGCACCGTCGCCGTCTCCAGGGGGGTGTCTCTTTCATCGACTTCTTGGTTCGTTGGCGTGGTTACGATGCAGCCGACGACAGCTGGGTTCCTTCGTCCTCGCTGTCTCCCGACAACGCTTGCCTCCGAGCGTACCTTCAGTCTGCAGGCGCCGCGGACGTCGCCTCCTTGGGAGGGGGGTAGTGTTAAGGGGGGATTTACTGTTCATTCCGAACAGTACTTTCCAAGTCACCCTTATCCTTATCTTCTCAGATTCTCTAGTGCCACGTGGCACTCTACTTTTCTTGCACTACAATTCTTGGTCCCACAATCCACTTTCCAACCTTGTTTCTTGCATGCTATAAAAACCTTGCTTGTACTTTGCATTATCAACCAATTCTCATTCAACTCTTCTTCAATTACTCAGTAACTCCTTCGCCTATTTCGCTAGTAGTTCTTTCGCCAAAGTCTTCCGCCGCGCTTCATCCTCGACTTAGTCGACCCCGCTAATTCTTTAGCGGATTTAGGCCAGCGGGCCTAACAGTTACCGTATATTAGCAGTTCAAGTGAGGTATAGCACCTCCATTGCTAACTGTTTTTGTTTCTACACACGTGGGTGACTTTGTGTGATACAGAAATGACGGTCTAAGCTGTAGGTGGTACCATACAAGCAACTGTTTTTATCAAGAGTCAGGTGACCTTCAGCAGCAATATTAGTGCCAAGCAAAATTGCAACGTGCAAGCGTTACCAGGACGTACCATTAGCAACCAGCAATCAACCAACCCTTTAGTAAAGGCACCTGAAATACACATTCCTCAACTCGCCTGTTCACCTCCACATCAGCTTGATGCCAAGGTGCTCCCTTGTCACCCCGACCCTGCTGCAATATTATCTGCATGCATGGCATGATCTATTCCAGCGGTCAATTCAGAAATTTTTATGCATTTATATTACAAAAGATCCAAAGTCTTCAGGCATTGAAAGAGATTCAGCCTATGTAGTTTATAACAAACACCACTCGCCGCATTATATCCTTGTACAAATTAAAAAGCGCATTCTAATGAATTTTCGGACATTTCGCAGAACCCAGGTACTTCAGGTAGACGTTGTCCCTCCACTCCTTGCCGACGGGAATATCTACCCCCTCTTTGGTTAACTCCTCGGCTAACTCCCCCCCCTTCTCTATCTCCCGTTCGGTCAAGAACGCATGTGCCATTGGAAACGCGTGAGGCTTATCAATGATATGAAAGAACTCACTCGAAAGTCCGCCATCTCTCACATCGTTGTAGTCACTCAAATACAGGTTTAGGCCTCCGTACCTAATTTGCAGACGATACTTCTCCATTTCCTTGTCCTTCTCGTCCCTGTCCATCCCCTCCCCTTCCTCCTCCTCCTCCTCCTCCTCCTCCTCCTCCTCCTCCTCCTCCTCCTCCTCCTCCTCCTCCTCCTCCTCCTCCTCCTCCTCCTCCTCCTCCTCCTCCTCCTCCTCCTCCTCCTCCTCCTCCTCCTCCTCCTCCTCCTCCTCCTCCTCCTCCTCCTCCTCCTCCTCCTCCTCCTCCTCCTCCTCCTCCTCCTCCTCCTCCTCCTCCTCCTCCTCCTCCTCCTCCTCCTCCCTCCTCCCTCCTCCTCCTCCTCCTCCTCCTCCTCCTCCTCCTCCTCCTCCTCCTCCCTCCTCCTCCCTCCTCCTCCTCCTCCTCCTCCTCCTCCTCCCTCCTCCTCCCTCTTCCTCCTCCTCCTCCTCCTCCTCCTCCTCCTCCTCCTCCTCCTCCTCCTCCTCCTCCTCCTCCTCCTCCTCCTCCTCCTCCTCCTCCTCCTCCTCCTCCTCCTCCTCCTTCTTGGCCTTAGTTTTTTTCACTTTCCTAAGGCAACATACTCCTGTGCTCGAGAGTATTCTTTGTCGATTTGGCATGCGCGTCTTCGTGCCCGGTATCACGTTCACCCATTGGTCTAGCCTGTGGCGTACCACCTCAGCCAGCTTCTCATTGGAGTGCCAAATCTGACACTTCTTGCCATTGTGCTGGAATTCGAAAATGTAGCTCTCGACAGGGACTGCATACGATGCTGAAAATCCAGGGAGTGGAAACAGTGGTTGGGAGGCAAATAGAGGAGTTAGGAGGGAGTGAACAAGTGACATGGGCGTGAATGGAATGCTTGGGGTATAATGTTGAAGGAACAGAGTGGAAATGACAGGGGTAGTATGTTGGAGTCGTGACCGAGTGTACGGGAAAAGCAATGGGATGGGGGAAGGAAGTAGGGTGAATAGCTGAAGGAATAGCACTCGTAAGGAAGGAGAATACCATTCTGTCATTCATGTATCTATGGCACCAACTTCTTACCTCCCTTTTTCTTCTCCGTTTGCTTCTTCGTCCGCTCCTGCTGCTGCTGGTGGTCCTCCACCTCCTGCTCACCATGCGGCAGCTGCTCCTGCTCACCATGCTGCTGCTGCTCCTGCTCACCATGCTGCACCTGCTGCCGCTCACCATGCTGCACCTGCTGCCGCTCACCATGCTGCAGCAGCTGCTGCCGCTCGCTCTGCAGCTGCTGCCACTCGCTCTGCAGCTGCTGCCGCTCGCTCTGCAGCTGCCGATGCTCGCTCTGCAGCTGCCGATGCTTGCTCTGCAGCTGCTGCCGCTCGCTCTGCAGCTGCTGCCGCTCGCTCTGCAGCTGCTGCCGCTCGCTCTGCAGCTGCTGCCGCTCGCTCTGCAGCTGCTGCCGCTCGCTCTGCAGCTGCTGCCGCTCGCTCTGCAGCTGCTGCCGCTCGCTCTGCAGCTGCTGCCGCTCGCTCTGCAGCTGCTGCCGCTCGCTCTGCAGCTGCTCCCGCTCGCTCTGCAGCTGCTCATGCTCGCTCTGCAGCTGCTCATGCTCGCTCTGCAGCTGCTCATGCTCGCTCTCAAGCTGCTCATGCTCGCTCTGCAGCTGCTGCTGCTTGCCCCCTTGTTGCCCTGACAGTTGTAACTCTATCAGTTTCTGCCGCAGCTGCTGCCATTGCGGATTCTCTCTTGAGTGAAAAATCCAGAGCTCTGCAGAGCTCTCTTGCGGATCTTCGGGTTCCACTGACCTGCTGAATGGGTCTTGTTACTCATCAAAATAGCCTCTCCTAGCGCTACATCAAACTCTTCTTTCTGCACAATGAAAGAACTGCATAAGTACTGGAAAACACAGTTGCAAGGCGGTTCACAACTTCAGAGATTGTCACTTCACGGCTGCTTTACATGACAAATCTTTCAACAAAGAAACCATAATTCTGCAAAGAAAGGAAACTTACACACTGCTTTGAAACAAAATTATCGGCATTTGCATCACTCCACGAACGCAAGGAACCAGAAGGAACCAACACCCTTAGTTGAGTCTGTCACAAAGAAGGGAGACACAAAAAAGACAACGGAGGGGATATGAACCATACAAATCAGCCTGATCTTGCAATGTTTACAGATTTGTGACATGCCTTCTTAGAGAACGTCACCAGATTAACCTGAATAGACTTACCAAAGATTCCCAAAGCCAACCATCATACCTCCAATCCGAAAAGCATCACAAGAACGGGAGGGCCCTGGCCTTCCTGCTGCTCGTTTGAAAGCTGTGATACAATAAGTGCTGGCCAGCCACCCAGATATTCACCAAGTTGAACTTCATGCCGCCCACGATCTGCATAGTAGTACATCCAGGGAGCACGAATAGAATAGCAACTCTTAGAGGTAAGGTGAGAAGCGCATCCATGGAGCACGCACGAAGCGCATCCACAAGGGATTTAGACATGGCAAATATGGGAGGAAGGGTGACAAACGGGTGCTGGAAAGCATAACAGAAATTTGAAAGAATTTAATCGATGGTGAGGAAAGAGTGCTGGAAAGCACTAAGACAAGTAGTTGTGGCCATAGGTGAGGAAGGGATGAGGGAAACACATCAAAGAATCAGAAAGGAATCGTGTAGTTAAATCTGGAACATAATTCAGATCCCGTACCGTGAAAGCCCCCAATTTAAAATAAAAAAGAGCAAGAAGTTCCGTTGTTGATTGACTCACCGTATACAGTTTTTGCCGGCGCTATGAGAGAAAACGTTCTTCTGAATCTGAGCCAGAGCGACGCTTGAGTCGGAGCAAGCTACCTTTCCAACTTACAAACTTAAAACACAGGTTTCCAGCGTGCGGACTTCTGTGAAGGGCTCTACTGGTATTCCGCCTCGAGACGGGAAACTAAAGATTGAAACGGAAGCTTCAAATGATAACCATAGGGGGGCTGTCAATCAAGTAACGTGACCGTCACGTCACGTCACGTCGCGAAAGAAGCGGCTCATTGTGAAGTCACGTGACGTGCGGGAAGGGGGACGATATCCCATGCGGTGGGGCTCAAACTCGATAGGCCCACCCATCACGAGAGCTTTCAGAAGGGGTACCTACTAGCTGGCATGCCCTTGCATTATCTGACTCAAATCCAGCCTGGTAATTTCGAAACTTGAACATGCATGATCAAGGCTCGGAACCTACCCCAACTCTGCAAAAAATAATACGTCACAATCCATGCCCAAATCTGAGTTTTCCCCATGCATGCGCGCTCACCATTCCACGGGGATTGACTTGGGTAACCCGAAGCATTGTTTTCGGAGAACAATGCTGAACCAATGCCGTGGGGGTGGAAAAAATGTCCCCCCTTCCCCATTTTCTCAGCAGCTACCTGCAGTTCGGATCTCAACAGCCCCGCACGTGCCAATTTGGATTGGGCAAGCAGATATTCTACGGTTGTGCTGGATGTACAGCGGTGCAATTGCGTTACAGTGATCCTAAACTTTTGGTTCATTGTTTGATTCGCGTCGGCAGAATGTTGCGGCTTTAGATAGTAACGATTGCGACTGTGACGAATTCAGATAAGGCTTTGCTGACGCGTCAGAAAACAATGCGTCAGATCCCTGTGGCGTCACACTCAAATGTGACAGCGCGGATGCACGTTTGCCTTGTGGCTGATTTGGCGCTCAAATGGAAAATTCGTATGTTACTTCACCTAGGTTTCGCCAATACGCACGCACGAGACGACACCACTGCAGTGCCTCACCCTCGCCATTCAAACTCCATCCACAGCCCAACTCTCATTCATTCACTCGTATCAATTTCCATGCTCCGTTCCTCAGCTTGTGCGGTTCTCCAGCAGAGAGCGTTTTATGTCTGATGTGTACGATACTAAGTCCGCTGTCTATATTCCGTTCGTCTTCCTCCCTCTGGCAGGATGTTGAAAGTCTACCACGGCTGAACGAGATGTTCGTACGGTCTCGCACCCTACACTTGCTGGTCCATTCATGTGCAAAATCTGGTACTTTTTTGTTACAAGCAAGTACTAGGTAGGCTAATGCGACTTTGTGAATATCTATTCCTGTACAGAAACGACCCGCGCACGACAACGCTGGCTACTATTATCGCCATACTATTTCCACTATCGATTATTCTTCATTGCCATGATATCGCCGAGTTTATCTTTTTTTGCTGACCGAGTTTCCAGCGATACCGTTCCTAACACAGCAATGGCAAAGCTGGTGGGTTCATTTTGGTGGTTTTTGTGGCAACCTTCCTGTCGTGGCTCTTTGCTGACCTAGTATGCTGCCTGTGTTGGTGCTGAGTGCAGAACGTTCTTCCTGCTGTAACAGTAAGTGGTTCGTTCAGGCAGATGGGAGTCTGTTAATGGATGCTGCTTTTGGATATTTGTAGTGTCTGCGGCTACCACCATTTTTTAGGAGGGGTCTGTTCGGGTGTCCCGCGGTTGTACGATTCGCCGATGAGCATATAAGATGTAATTTGTAATTATATTATAAATGTGATTTAAGGTTTATAATTTCAACAGATATGCGGTTACTGTTTTAGCCCGTTACAAAACTCTTTGAAGAAATCGCCCCGTTTGCTGCAGTGAGGATGAGCAATGTTGGCCGTTTGGTGAAGCATTCCTTGCCGAGCATGCGGAAGATTGCCCAAGCAAACCTTGCACGAAACGGGAATGCACGAAGTCATTAAAAACAAACCTCCTAGATTGGTTGCCGAACCTGCTAAGTAAACCTTTGGGAACCCCCACGAGCAAACCCGCAACATTGCTCACAGGTCGATGATTCATCATGATAAACCTCAAAAATTGTTGCCCCGCGACTACTTACAACAATGTTTCGTAAAACATAGGGCAATGTTTGGGCGAGTTTTTTTTTGCAGAGAAGGAGAAAGACCAGCTCGGTCAGTCACGTTCGGAGGTTGCCGAACTTGCCAGATGTTGCCTTCGCCCGGGGTTGCCGAACTTGCCTGCCGAACTTGCCAGGTTTGCCGGACTAGGTTGCCGAGCTTGCTGGTCATCACCCCTCCAAGCAGTAACTGACCGAGTCGCCCCTTCGCCTTGCACACGAGTTCAACCTCTCACGAGTTCGACTTCCTTCAGCAGTTCTACCTCCATGTAGGAGCTCCAAGAAACACCTTGAGGTTGCCGGAGGTTGCTGCAGTTGCTGCTCCAGGCTTCGTTACTCCTCCTTCTCCCATGGTCCATCGCCATCGCTTAGATCTTCACCCCTGTAGGCGCAATCGCCATCGCGTCCCTCTCCTGGTTTGACATTCCTTGATCACGTCGCAATCGCCATCCCTGAAGCCGCAATCGCCATGCCTGCATTTGCAATCGCCATGCCTTCAGCCGCAATCGCCATCGCATCCCACTCCTGGTTCGACATTCTTTGATCACGTCGATATCGCCAATCCCTGCAGCCGCATTCGCCGTCCCTGCATTCGCAATCACCATCGCGCCCCTTTCCTGGTTCAGCGACGTGAGAGACGATCGTCGCGCGTCGCCGAATCTCTTGACACGCACGCGCCGCTTCCCTATCCGAACGCTTGTCGTCCCACCTCGCTTGGAAGCCCAGGGGCTTCACCATACCCAGAAATTCAGGAAGCCGGAAGCTGGAATCAATCACCCATGATGGTAACCCTACCTCCTCCTCATGACCACGTGGTAATAACCATTCGTGTGAATCCACGTGGCGAGGAGAATGAGGACAGCAGCAAGACAGCATCAGCAACCGAAGCACCACCAGGCGAAACGTCTACCAAAACCAGGAGACGAACGGCTGATATTGAAGCATCCTGGCAATGGACGGTGCGGATGAACCTGAAGGTGCACAAGCAGAGAGAGAGCCTCTGCACTTGCTGCGACTGACAAGAGTAGCCGCCAGTAGTAGCGGCTCGTCCTACTCAGGCAGCGATGGGTTGTCCACGTTGGCGAAGCGACTAAGGACCAGCTGCTACTTAGATGCTACTGGCGAAGCTATGCTGACATAAAACTCTGCGAGCAGCATACGGAAGCGATGCTGGCAAAGCTACTAAGAACGCTAAGCGAAACCACCTCTTCGCTCTGCTCACCTGCCCAGTGGAGACAGTAGAAGGCACGCGTGACGCTGCTGTGCGTACCAAGGTGAGATGCAATGAGATGAGATGAGGTGAGGTGAAACGAGGTGCTGTGCATGCTTGCGGTCTGCAGAGATGCAGCAGTGGGCTGCGAGGGATGCAGACGGGGAAGGGAGAGAAACACGGCACGATCACCCTATCAGGATCCCTCTTGTCCCTATCACCCCCCTCTCCGCCCCTCCCTCCCTCACAGACTCTCCTCCACACGAGGGCCATTGTGCCTCTGTTCAGAGTCGAGGTGCTGTGTGTGCATGCAGAGCTGCAGCAGTGGGCTGCGGGACACAGATGGGCGAAGGAAAAAGCGCAGCAGGGAAAAAGCGCAGCACAATTACCCTAGTATTTTCCCCTTCGTCCCTCTTTTCCCTCTCTCCTTCCGTCCTTCCTTGCAGGCCCTACTTCACACTCGTGCCATCATGCCTCTATTCAGGAATGAGGTGCTGTGTGTGCATGCAAAGGTGCAGCAGTGGGCGGTGGGGCGCATGGGGGAGGGGAAGAAGGCGGCAGCAGCGAGGCACAGAGCACAGGGAGCAGAGGAGGAGTACCAGCGCCTGAGAGAGTGCTGTCGACTCCTGGGGTGAGTTTGATGGGGTACAAGATGGTTCTGCACTGATACGTCTTCGCTACGTCTGCTTGTGCACAACGCCCCTTCTCCCGCCCTTGTCCCCCTCTTTAACAGTGGCTTAGTGGTCGCTTTGGAGAATCCAGCCCTATGTCTCCCTCTCTCTCCGTCTCTGATCATGTGACTTTTGAGAATTCTCAAAAGTCACACGCTTTGGATAATCCAGCCCCATGTCTCCCTCTCTCTCCGTCTCTGACTACCAGGGACCTAGTAAGCGGCACCGGCATGCACGCATGTCTGCAGCGAATGGCAGATTCGCACAGGAGGAGGCGCTTTCTGCTGGGCTATGAGGGCAGGTGCTTGCTGCTGAGGCTGGCGGACAAGCCATCTTTGCTGCTGCCCATGCTGCTTTTGCTGCTGGCTGTTCTCGTTCTGCTGCGAGCTGAGGTGCACTGGCCCATTCTGCACACCTCCTGCCTCGCCCAGACCGCCTCCGTCACGGTAAGCCAGAAGCTATTTTGCACTTTCTGGTGTTCCCAGCTGCTCTCTCTACTACTGTCTGCTCGCCCTGCTGCAAGCTGAGGTGCACTGGGCCATCCTGCTGACGACCACCATGTTCCCTACCACATCCTGTCTCCCTCCTTGCAGAGACCAGAAGCAGACTCGGTGGCAATGCTTATCGACACCATGTTCCACCATGTGCCTCTATTTGGGCGGCTCTGCGTGGTGAAGGCAGGCAGTGGTCGGAGGCGCAGCTGCGGCAGAAGCTGACAGACAACCTGAACCAACCAGAACAAGTCCAGGGTTTGGTCAGGAGAGCGGTAACAGGGCTACCACGTGGCAGCATGCCAGTGGAGCATGCTGACGCTGCGGTTGATGCTGCGGTTGATGCTGCCATCAACTACATGAAGCAGCTGTGAGTCTCACCATTGCCAGGCTACACTGTTTTCTCGTCATTGTGCCACACTATTCATAAGGTCTCCATGCCACACTATGTGTGATCTGGATGGTCTGGTGTGCCTGGTGGTTGGTATGTCATGTGTGTGTGTTCCTTTTGACATGTGCTCATCTTTCCATCATTTCGCACTTTTTCCCTGCCCATGCCTGTCATCACCCTCAGCGGCTTCGTGAATGACAAGGAGTACGCGGAGGCGTTCGCCCGAGGGATGTTCAAGCAGCTGGCATGGGGTCCAGCTCGCCTCGGAATGGTGAGCTTCCTCTATGTGCTGTTGCTTTGGTGATCCTGTCGTTAGTGCTCATGGTGAGTGTGCATGTGCCTTTAATGGAAAGTTCTGCCTCCTGCTCATGCACTTCCGTTCTCTCAGATCTATCCCCCTCCCATCTTTTCTGTTCTCCTCCACCTCCCCTCGTCCGTCCTGCCATGCTCTTCCCTCATTTCCCCTGCCCTCCTCCTCCCCCTTTCTGCCCTTTTCGCTCCCCCTGCAGCCATCTCTGCATCTTTCGTGCATGGATCAGAGCAAAACAGGGAGGAGAATCTTCGAAGAGTCTTTAAACGAATACCTCTACAAAACGGGGGTTAGGAGCATGCTGGAGAGAATATCAAAGGACAATCTCGTTCTTCTGCTCCTGGATGCGTAAGTAGCATTCTCTTGTTTCTTGTCTGGATCCTATTCTTTTTGGGTGCAGCATCACTGTATTCACAGGACTCGCTCATGACACGTTGTGGATGAATTTGTAAGTTTTGCAATGCGGTCTTAGAAAAAGAGTTATCTCGTTTCGCGTTACGCATGTTACAATTATGCATGTCTAACTCATACATGTTGCAACCGTGCATCTCTTATACGTGCTCTGTCATGAATATGATATTTGGACTTGCATTAACCCACAGGATTATGAGGTTTGCGGACGTGGTGGAGCGGGTCCTGGCGGATGCCAACATTAATGTTGACAATCGCTAGCTCGTCGTGTTCAACTTGCCGGATGACATTATAATCGAAGTGATCAACGTTTCGATTGAAATGTCATCGGGCAAGTTGAGCAGGACGAGCTTGCGATTGGCAACGTTGGCGTTGGCATTGGCTTGCACCCGCTCCACCACATCCGCATTCCTCATAGCCCTGTGAGAAAATGCAAGTCCGAATCTCACATTCGTGACAGAGCACGTGTAAGAGATGCACGATTGCAACATGTACGAAAGCTCGCCAGCTGGGCTCTTCGCGAGCCAACGAAGATGACTAATGTGAGTGGCGTTGGAAGGTCATGCAGCCTGTGATTTTGTTATCGTCGTTTGTAATTTTTTTTTTTTTCCGACTTCATCTTGAGGCCTCGCTGCCGTGTGTAAGCAACGGCAGGCTTGGTATCGTTCAATAGCTTCGCCCATAGCTACTGGGTCTTAGAGTTCATGTTTCTTCTCTCTGCGTGCCCTCCGCATGCTCCCCTTAAATCAGGATCGTGGTACCGGGCGCCCTTATACCCTTTATGTGACACTGCTGGTTATGGTGATGGTCTTGGTGAAGCTGGTGCTAGTTTTGGTGGAGATTGTTAATGCTCTCGAGAAAGCCCTCCAAGGCCAAGCCATGGGGACTTCTAGCTTGTCACGCTCGATCCCTTCCCCCTCCTCCCCCTCATCCTCTTTTTCCCCTGTGTCTCTTGTGTCGCCCGTGTTTTAACAAGTGGTATACGGGGTAATAGGTGCTAGTCTTGCATCATTGTGCAGCAACAGGTATCTAGCACTCAAAAGTTATGTTTGCAATTTCCATGATTCACTCTGCCTTGGTTTGTGCCAAAAAAACTACATTCTGCTAAAACCTCAAAAGTGTGGGACAGAGGTGAATATGGCCCCTTGGAGAAACGAAAACAACGCATTGTGGGTTGGTTACAGTGGCAGGGGCATAGCTGCCAGCAGACTTGGAAGGTTGTGAACTTTATACAGAGGCGATTCAGGGTGGTATACTATCAATAACATACGGTACTACACCAGAAAACCGATCCACCGGAAAATACCCCTCGTCCATCCATAATCATCCACCAACCACAGACAGGCGGTAGGTAGCAAAAGAGTCTTAGTACCAAGCTGCGTCATGTAATTCGTTTATCATCCTGATGTATTTGTGGAAATACACATAGTTCCCGGCATGCATACCATTATCATTACACAAATTTGAATCGCTATACCCAGCAACACAATCGGGTATGTTGGCCGCAGAAGGCAGAGACTTCTCGTAATTCCGCGCACCTAAGGTTTTTCAAGTAGACTAGACCGATCTAAGAGTAATTCCCCCGATGAGAGAATTAAATTGTAATCTCTATCGACAACGGTGACGACGGAGCCTCTTCGATTGCCGGCGAAACGACATCAAATTGCCGACAGCAAACGGCTTGGTCCTCGCGGCGCGCACTCGGTGAGGTTCGTTGACCCTTCAAAGTGGCAGCCATGATCTGCAACAATATCATTCGTTTGGCAAGAATCCGCTGAACCACAGATTCGATACTCTTCGTTTCTGCTTTCCCTACCGTAGTTTATCGTCGTAGTGCCTTTACCGTGCTCATTCGTTCCCCTTGTCCGACTCGTCTCGTCTCGTCTCTCCCTTCCTTCCGTGCCAGGCTTTAAGGTCTGCCTATGTAGAACCCCCGTGCGCCAACCAGCACACCCGCCGCGCCGCCCGACGCCAGCCTACCCAACACGTCGCAGCATTAACCATTCCGCCATCACCTGTCCCCCACGGCTCTTCCTCTCCACCGCATCCGCACACCACACCGTGTCGCCAGCGCACGCGCAACCCCAATGGGCAACACGGCGGAGCAGCAGGCGGCGTTTGCGGCGTTCGACTTCGCGGGGAGCGCGGCGTGGCGGGACTATTTCAACAACCTCACAATTCCGCCCGATCGAGCCAACGACCCCGCCGTCCTCCGCCGCTACAGACAAAAGTTCTTCCGCCAGTGCGTCGACCCCGACTTCCAAGTGGATCCCCTGCAGCCCGCCGCTTCCCCCGCCTCCGCCATTCCCCCCGCCTCGTCCGCCTATGCCGCGCCCTCCTCCGCATCCACTGCGCCACGACCCTCAGCCGCGGGCCGAGCCTCAGCAGCAGGCACGGCGGCCAGTGGGGCCACAGGGGGAACTGGCAGCAGCAGCAGAACCGGCGGTACCACCGGCGGAAACGCGGGGGGTAACGCGCGCATGGGTCTGCAGACGTACACGTTCGTGGCGCACGCGTGGGTGGTAACGATGGCGCTGGTCGCGCTCTTCCCCCTGTGCCCGCGCGCGCTGCTCGTGCGCGCGTTCCGCCTCGCCCTCTTCGGCGGGCTCGTCGCGTCCGCCCTCTCCATCCTGCAGCGCCACGGCCCCCCCGCCGCGCTCTCCCTCCCCGCGCTCAAATCCTGGCTGCAAACCCTCCTAACCGGACCCCACCTCCTCACACTCATGCACTGCTCCGTCTTCCTCCCGTCTCCGCACCCCATCGCGCTCGCCCTTCTCCCCCTCGCCGCGCGCTCCCTCCTCCCGCTCACCACGCACCTCCAACAGAACTTCAGCCAAGCAAGCCTCTACCGATCATACCTCGCAAAACCCTGCGAGTGGGTAGCCGCAAACCGGCAACAAGTAGAGCTCTTCACAGCAAACACAGAGGTCATGCTAGGGCCGTTACTCGCCTTCTACCTGTTGACTCCGCAGCGCAGTTTCTTTCAGGTGTTTCTGTACTGGCAGCTGCTCAAGATGCGGTTTCACGCGCCAGCATCAGCGTGGTATCACCGGCAGATCTGGGGGCATTTGGAGACCACTGTGCTGCCGCACGTGCAGCGGTATGTGCCGGTGCTGATGACGCCCATCGGTTATGTGCAGCGGTGGTTCCAGAGTATGGGCAGGGCTTGATGTGGTGGGAGAAGGGGAAGGGGGAGAAGTGGAGGGAAGGGGGAGGGGAAGAGGAAGCATCGGCGTGGTATCACCGGCAGATCTGGGGGCATCTGGAGACGATTGTGCTGCCGCACGTGCAGCGGTATGTGCCGGTGCTGCTGACGCCCATTGGGTATGTGCAGCGGTGATTTCAGAGTATGGGCAGGGTTGATGCGGTGGGAGAAGGGGAAGGGGATGCAGAGGAGGAAGCATTGGTGCTGTGGCATGTGCAGCGGTACGTACCGGATGACGTTCATTGGGTATGTGCAGCGATGTTTACAAACCATGGGGAGGGCTTGATGCGGGAAGGGAGGAGGAGGTTTGAAGAGGGGAGGAGGAGGAGAGATGCAAAGGAAAAGGGGAACGGAGGAGGAAACGACTGTGCTGCCCCGTGTGCAGCAGTGTGTGCCGGTGCTGCTGACGCCCATTGGTTATGTGCAGCGATGGTCCCAATCCATGGGTAGGGCTTGATGCTGCTGAAGCAGCAGGGGAAGGGGTGCAAAGATATGAGCAAGTTGGGAGGAAGGGAAGAGGGAAGTACCGTAAAGTGCCACCTATAGGACCCGCCGGTAAGAGGGTCCCCGGGACTCTTGAAGGAGCAGAGGGACTCTTATTTGGGCAGGATTTGTGAGGACCCCCTTTCTGCCCCTAATCATCATAAGACCCCCCTTTCCTGTATACAGTCGTTGTAATTGCTATTGTGAGTCAGCTTTTATTGACAGAAACTTGAATTCTGACACGATTTTTTGTGTCAGACTCGAATTCTGACACTTTGTTTGTGTCAGACTCGAATTCTGACACTTTGTTTGTGTCAGACTCGAATTCTGACACAGATCTGACGCGCCGCTCGCGCGAAATCCGCCCACGAATGCCGTTTTTCGTTATAAATATAAGACCCCCCCGCCCCGAATTAAGCCGTACACCCTAAAGAACAGAATGATAGTTGATAAATAAGTGTACCCCGGGTCTTAAAATTTTGCATCCGCCAGAGGGTCCCCCTAGCACTTTTTCAAGCATTTGTAGAGAGTCCCCCGGGTCCTATAGGTGGCACTTTATGGTATGAGTGCTCTCATGCTTTTTGGGTTGAAAGGTACCTTGAGTCAAGAACTGGTCTACACTCTTGCAGAGGCTTGGAGACTAGGGAGGGTTGGTTGGAAAAGACTTGGCGGGGACTTCCTCTCAGAGCAGTGCTGGCCGTGCAGTTTCCTTGGGGGTGGTGGGCAATGGAGGAGTTCCATTGAGAGGCTGCTGCAGAATCGTTCCGTTGTTCCATTTCTGTTCCTTGTTAGGACCTGCATGTGGATTTTCACATGGCATGGATGAGTGGCTAGCTGCTTCCGTTCTTTACGGTATTCTCAATGCTACGTAGTGCAAAATTGCATACAAGGGAGGACACATGCTACACGCAGCAGTGCAGCACAACCATTTGCACACCAAATGCACTGCAAGGAAGCACACGCGCAGGATGACCCTGACGAAATTGCATGACCTGACCACTCAACCAGCGACTTTTGAGTCGACTCAAAAGTCACCACTCAACCAGCGCTGAAAGCACGGAACAAATGCTAGACACCAGATGGCATCCTGCAGCAGCATTCAAATTACTTGCTAGCATTGGCATCACTTGCTGCTGCTGCTGTTTCGTTTTGAGATCCCAAAAATCACGCAGCAGCATTGGAATCACTTGCTGCTGCTGCCTCTGCATCACCGTCAGCTGGCTCCGGGGGAGGCGGGGCCTGCTCCTCCTGCACCGCACAGCAGCATCACGACGAGGGCATCAAGAGGGAAGGGAAGCGACATGCGAGTCCCACATGAGGTGAAATGCAGATTATGGCAAGAGGCAGCATGGATCAGCACAATGCGGGATGAGGCAGAGCATGGGCCCTAAGGGACATACGAGAAGCAACGGCAGGGGTCATGTTGGTTCTTGAAAATTCTTAAAGGGCAACTGATAGCAAGCTGGGGGACTGGGAGGCCGAGGAGACCAAGCAAGGAGACATTTTGAAAAAGGCTGAGGGCGGCTTACCTCAGGAAGGGGCTCTTCCACATAGTCGTTGTCAAAGGCGTCTGATGGCACCTCGTACAGCCTGCACGCAGCGGGGAGAGAGTAGAGGTAAAAGGAGTGACGGGAGAGCAGAGAGAGAGGAATCAAAAGTGCAGTTTTTGTATTGCATTAACACATCAGGAAGGGGTTCTTCCACATAGTCGTTGTCGAATGCGTCTGATGGCACCTCGTACAGCCTGCATGCACGCGGGAAAAAGGGGGGTTGGGAGAAAACGGAGTGGCGGGAGAGGAGAGAGAGTAGGGAAGGCAGGGCGCGGTGAGTGTGCTGCATGGCGACCTCACCTCGGCACCGGGCTCTCCACATCGTCCTTGTCAACGGCGTCTGATGGCACCGTACAGCCTGCATGGGGGAAGGGAGTGGTGGGGGACAATGGGGAAGCGAGAGTGAATTGGACGGAGCAGAAGTGTGGTGAGAGAGAGTGTTAAAATTGCCCAAAAAAAAAAAAAAAAAAAAAAAAAGAGGCTCACCTGAGGAAGGGCTCACCTTAGGAAGGGCTTGTTGGGGTCCTTAACGATGAGGTACTTGCCATCCTCAAGCTTCATACACATGTCCACTATGTGCTGTTGGTTGGTGGGGGTGGCAGAGGGAGAGGGAAAGCGAGGAAGAAGAGGTTGGATTGGAAGAGTTTTGATGGACACAAAGAGGGATGGGTGGGGAGAGGAGGAAAGGGGTTCTTGACGATTAGGTACTTGCTATATTGATGGTGCGGGGGAGGGGGGAGGGGGGAGGGGGGAGCGTGGTTGACACAACAAGGAGTGGGTGAAACAGGAAGGGATGGGTGAGTCAAAACAGAGGCCAGGCATGCTGCACATGTGTGTGTGCCATGTGCTGGTAAGGGTGGAAGGATGGGAGGAGGGCGTTGAAGAACGGAAGCGGGGCATGAGGCAGATCTGGACGCGCACGCACATCACCAATGCATATGCTGGCGGAGCGTGCTCACGCCATTGACACCCCTTCACAATGGCCCCCATGCCCCACATGCCGCCCACGCCCCCCATGCCCCCCATGCCCCCCATGCCCCCCCACGCCCCCCATGCCCCCCCATCCCCCACATACCCACATCCCCCCAATACCCCCATGGCCCCCCCTGTTGGTGTGTACACAACGCACCTTAACAATGCCCCACATGTTGGCGGAGGAGAGCGTGATCTGCATGGCTAGCTCGCGCGGCTTGTATGCCTGGGCGGATGAAGGGGAGAAAGGCACGGGAGGGGAGGGGAGGGGAGGGAGGGGAGGAGGAGAGAGGGGTGGGAAGGGGGGAGAGAGTGAGAGTACAAGGGAGAAAGTGAGAGTACAAGGGAGAAAGGTGCGGGAAGGGAGGGAACGGAAGGGAGGGACAGGAGAGGAGGAGGGGAGGGATGGCGGGTGGACGAGTGGGGGGGCCAGGGCCGTGGGACCGTGAGGGAGGAAACGGAGTGCTTTTTTAGAATTCTCAAATATCGCTCGAAATGGAGGGGCAGGGCAGGGACCGTGTTCACAACCGCGTTGACCAGCATTGACCTGCACTGACCTGCACTGCGAGGATGGTTTTCTTGAGGTTGTTCTTGGGAAACACTCGCGACACGTTGACAGGCACTGACTTACATTGACCAGCATTGACCTGCACTGACCAGTATTGACGGGGGTCACTGACCTGCACTGCGAGGATGGTGTGCTTGAGGTTGTTCTTGGGGAACACTCGCGACACGTACCCCAGCTTCATCTGCCCGGCCCACGGAGGAGAGCACGGGGAAAAACGGGAGGGAAGGGATGGGGGGCGGGGGAGGGGGAGGGAAGGGGTAGGGGGCGGAGAAGTGGGGGGGAGGGGATGGCGGGAGAATACGAAATGTAGTGCAGTTAGCATGCGAGGGTTACAGTGGCAACATGTACCCACAGAATCATCAGGCAAGGGGAGGCGAGGAGTGTGTGCAGGGACAACACCACGGCGGTGATTGCAAGGAGAGAGAGAGGGACAAAGGAACCACAACCCCAGCCATCTGCCCGTTATAACCCCCATACTCCATTCCCGCTTCCCTGCACGCCACCCCTCCCCGCACGCCACCCTTCCCTTCCCCACCCAAGCGCACCAGATCAGCCCCTGCGAGCAGCGCTTGTGCCGTCCACTTGGCGAGCTTGTTGCTGTTGTTCTTCAGCTCCGTTGCTAGCACCTGGAGGAGAAGGGGGAAGGGGGCAGCATGGCAGCACCAACGGAGACTCCGGTGACACACATGTTGATCTTTGGCGCGCCGGACGACTCCCGTGACATCAGAATCAAACATCTTGGAGGAGAATGCATCTAAGAAACCTCAAAAGCAGCTACAGAAAAGCTCACCGCGCCCCTTTGATTGTCGATCTTGGCGCGCCAGTCCACGCCCGTGACCTTGGGGTCAAACTCGTTCAGCGCATTCACCGTCGCCAGCATCTCCTGCCCCCGCATGTCCACCACCGCGTCCAACTCACAGCGCACCACCAGTGGCATGTCCTGGAGGAAAAAGGGTTGTGAAGGCAGGCAGTAAGCGCATGTGTGTGCATATGTGCGTGGATGTGTGGTGCAACTAAAGCATCTCCCATCATGCCCACCGCTGCATCTAGCTCGCACCGCTCCACCAATGGCATGTCCTGACGGGAGTGGAGTCCAAGCTACCCTACCCACCCCCATTCAAATCTACCCCTTTCAAGCAACCCAACCAAAGTCCTGGACTTTGGTTGGGTTGCTTGGGGGGGGTGGATTCGGACTGGGGATGCGGCAGGGGGTTGTGAGAGGCAAGGAATATGCATATGTGTGTTTGCATATGTGTGTTTGCATATGTGTATTTGCATATGTGTGTTTGCATATGTATGTGTGTTTGCATATGTATGTGTGTTTGCATATGTATGTGTGTTTGCATATGTATGTGTGTTTGCATATGTATGTGTGTTTGCATATGTGTGTTTGCATATGTGTGTTTGCATATGTGTGTGCACGTGTGGTGCAACTAAAGCATCTCCTGCCCCCTCATGTCCACCACTGCATCTAGCTCGCACCGCACCACCAATGGCATGTCCTGGAGAGGCAGGGGGCGAACAACCACTCACCCCTCTCAACCCAGCCCCCACTCACCCCATCCAGCATCCACTTGTGGTAACGGTATGCCACAGATGCCACCTCCTCGCCCTCCATCCCACCCACCTCAACCCCCCGCGAACCAGTGTCTAGCCGCTCACCCCTCCCAACCTAGCCGAACACCCACTCACCCCATCCAGCATCCACTTGCGGTAGCGGTACGCCACAGATGCCACCTCCTCGCCCTCCGCTGCAAAAGGATTCGCCTCCGCGAACTGCCTCTTGGCTCCCTTCTGCTCGCATGCACGCGCAGACACACAGGCACGCAGGAGATGGGGGAGCAGGGACGGCGGGCAAGTAAGTGTAACAATCCGTTTCTCAAATCTAAAAGGCAACCTTGTTCGCACGAATGATGAAGTAAAACAGCAGCTACTCACAGCATCAACACGCCCCTATCTAATCCCCCTTGACTAACCCTGCCCTGCCTTGTGCTGCACCCGTTGACCCCACCTTGTGCTCTCGCCCATGGCTCCACTGCACCCACCTTGTTGACGATCTGCTGGGAGAAGTTCTGGTTGATGAACGTCGCCTCCTGGCTGACCCCACCACGTGCCCATAACCATGCATCAACGCACCCAGTGAGTCCTGTGAGCACCCATTGACGGTTGACCCACCTTGTGCTGTCGCCACTGAACTGACGGACCCACCTTGTTAACGATCTGCTGGGAGAAGTTCTGGTTGATGAACGTCGCCTCCTGGCTTAAGCGCACTATGTGCCCGAAACCATGCTTGCTTCACAGCACCCAGTGAGCTACCAGTGAACCCAGTGATTCCACCTTGCGCCCATCCCGCTGCACCCACCTTGTTGACGATCTGCTGAGAGAAGTTTTGGTTGATGAACGTCGCCTCCTGGCTGAGCGACGCAATGCCGTTGATGCTGTCCTCTGGCGCTGGCTCGATGCCTGTTGCTGTCTCGTTCACCTGCACGGGGCGAGTGAGAAACACGGGGAAGAGCAAGAGGAGTAGGGGCACCACGGCTTGCTTGAGATGCTGCTGTTCTCTGCCGCCGGCTCGTTGCCCGTCGCTGCCTTGAATGCTCTTTGACAATGTTAGTTATAAAACCATCACGGCACCCGCGTGGATGCCAGACAACCACATGCCACTAACCGTGAGCAGATCGAAAGATGAGTCCCGCTGGTCGAAGAACAGCTTCCCGCCGCTCTTATGCACGACGACGTCCCACGAGTACACGGAGCGCGGCGCACACATGAGCGTGGACAGGATGGCATCCGTCGCGAACACCGCGGGCGCGTCCCCGCCCTCCGCCGCCAGGCGCTTCACCACGGGGTCGTCGCTGGTCGTCACCTTGTGGAACTGGCGCGTTTCACACCTCTCTAGAGGACGTTCCGACTGGCGAGACAGGAGAAAGGGAGGGAGGAGGGGGGAGCAGATATAAGGGTTGAAAGGAGGAGTCAAACAAGGGGCATGAGCACCACCGTCCCCGCCCTCCGCCGCCAGGCGCTTCACCACGGGGTCGTCGCTCGACGTCACCGTGTGGAACTGCCGCGTCTCGAACCGCTCCAACGGCCGATCCGACTACATGGGGGGAAAGGGTGGGGAGGGAGGGGGAGAGGGTTAGGGGCGAGAGGAGCGGGGAGGAGTGTGGAGGGAGAGGTGGGGAAAAGTTGATGGGTTGGTATGGTCGGGAGCAGGGGGTAAGGAGCGGCAGCCAAGGTCCAAAAGGAGGATCCAAACAAGGGGCATGGGCATCAACGGTCATACCTTGGGGTTGACTCGGTCAAACGTCTTGTCGTAATACTCCAACGCGCCGCATGTCGTACTGCAGAAGGCACGGGGCGCACGGGATCATGAAGGGTGGAGCGGGAAATAAGCGGGATAGGGAGAATGACCCACAACAAGAAGGAGAAAGGGAGGGGAGGGGGACATAAAGGGAACAGGAAGTGAGAATAAAGGACGGAAGGGGGCGAGGAATGAAGGAATATGCAATGGTAATACGGGGAAAAAAACCAACAATGGCGAGGGATAGGAGGGAAGGGGGAAATGAATGAAGGTAGGGTACAATAACTGCAACGGTAGGCTGAAAACGGAAAATTAACTACCTCATTCTCACACTCTCCCCCCCTCCCTCCCTTCCGCCCTCCCTCCCTCCCTCCCTCCCTCCCTCCCTCCCTCCCTCCCTCCCTCCCTCCTTTCCCTCCTTCCTTTCCCTCCTTCCCTCCCCCCTCCCTCTCTCCGCCACCGCTCCCCTCTCTCAGACTCACACGTCCTGAGGTTCCCCAGCGTTGAAAGAAAGTTTCGAGAGCGCAGAGAGCGGGATCTGTTCCAGCACGACCCACTCGGGCCGGATGTCGACGGAGCTGTTGTACGTGGCGCGCTGCGCGTTGCGGTCGTAGTACGGGTTCCACTGCCCGCGCTTCTGCTGCTGCATGCGCTGCTGCCGCTGCCGCTCCCTGTCCGCGCCCGCGCCGCTGTCGCGCCCGTCGCGCTTCCCCTCCTCCCCGCGCCGGTTCTGGAACCGATTCTGGGGAAAAACGGGCGCGGAAGAACGGGTGGGGGGAGTGGGGGAGAGGGGGGGAGGGAGGGAAGGGGGGGTGGGGTGGGGGGGGGGGAGGGACGGAAAGGGGGTGGGGATGAGGGGGGGGGGAGAGGAAGGGAGGGAAGGGGGGTGGGGGAGGGTGTGTGTGCGGAGCAGTAGCGGAGCGTAGAGGAACAGAGAATGAAGGAAAACGAAGAGGCAACGCGACGCGAAGCGAGGATAAATTGAGACGGAGATCCCGGAGGAAACGACGCGAGTGGGACAGAAGATTGACAAATAAAGGATAGAAGAGGCGGGGGGTGGGGGGGCGGGGTGGGAAGGTGGGGCGGGATAGAAGAGGGAAAAGGTGGCGGAAAGGCAAAAGAAGGGAGCACGGAAACGAAGTAGATGGTGAGAGGAAAGGGAGAGGGAGGGCGGCAACGAACCTGGAAGAAGCGGCGGGGGCCATAACGAGGCTTCTGTACCGGCTTGGTGTCCACGAGTTGAAACGAGTCCTGCACGCATGCCGTGGATTGAAAGGGGTTACGTGGATGGTGATGAATGACATCTATATTAGCATCAATTAAACGACGTCGACGGGATAGACGCGGGAGATACACGACAACGGATGCCACCTACCTCATCCTGATCTTGGAAGAAGGAGAAGGCGGCATTCACCCCGCCCGCCCCGCCTTGGCGATCGCGATCGTAGCGACCTGCGAGATTGACGAAATGAAGCGACGGATTTGCGAAAATGTGAGGGGAGTAAGAGAGGCGGACGAGACGAGAACTCGGTAAACGACCCCTCGATATACGATAACTGAGTGACAGGTGGGACCTCGACAGGCGATGAGTGCAGCACAAACAGCGGGATTGAAAGACTCGCTAAACCCTGGCTGAAAGGGATTGTCCCCTACCCACTGGCAGCGGCACGACTGTCGCGAACACCGTCACAGCCTAAGGCGCCACTAATTACACGTAGAGCGATCAAATGGGATAAACCTAGCGGAATGAGAGCTAGGGATCGGAAGCGCGAGACCGCGGCCGCAAGCGCGCGGCACGAGACGTACGGTATCCTTGGGAGGTCCAGTCCGCCGCGCGGCCGACGCGGTCGCCCTTATTGAACGGCGCGTAAGGGACGTCTTTAAACTGCTCGGGGAGAGTGGTGGGACCCCAGCCGTCGGGGTTATCGGAGAGCACTGGCACGGGAAAATGGGCCTCGCGCACGGGCGCCATGGCGTCTAATCAACCCGCGATTTGATCACCAAGAGACTTTATCGTTATTGATCTGTCCGTTATCCGGTACAGACACGGTGTTCCGAGCTGTGCGGTCCCGGATTCCTAGCTGCTGGGGTGGTGAAACCCTAGAAACGATTTTACCAGCAGATCCCCAGACGGATGTGCTGACGAGTGGAGCAGAAAGAGAAGGGAGAAGACGGGTGCACGTGAATGAAGTCATGTCGCAGTGGGTGTGAGGAGATCGATATTCCCGTTAGCAGCTGCGCTGAATCCCGTTCAGTTTCATAACTTAGAAAACCAAGTAGAAATATACACACTGACATATATTGTACATTTGTTCCATGTATACATCCAACAAAAACATACTCTTGTACCGGTACCAGCCTACCATGTACTTCGTTATCCAGATCCTTTCTACCGGATCAACACCTTGTGTTTCGGCCTGGAAGAAATCCCAACAAACCTATGAAAGATGACTGATATTTCATCCACATATCTGGCATGAAACTCATCAACGGTCTCTCCATCTCGTGGGAACAGAGGCTTCCCAATCACAATAAGTAGGTCCCTGCATGTCAGGAAACAAACATGGTCAGCCAATAAAACTTGCAAAGCTTCAATGTTCAGACTAATGCGTCAGCTAGTCAAACCATTGCCATACCTGCGGAATGGCATTGGCATGTGCCACACCCCCCTCATGAACGGGACGCCAATGCGCCAGTAGCGATTCACCACAGCCCAGAACTGGAGCAGCCAGAGTGGATCGTGCTTGAACAGCTGCAGAAAGGAATTGTAAGGCAAATAAGAAAAGGAGAAACCGTTACTCGAAAGGAATAAGAAACCCTATCCAGCATTCAGCCCAATGAAAGTTTTTAGTCTAATGCATGTTGCTGGTCTTAACTGAATGCTCACGCTTGATCTTGGGGCGAGGAGTAGCACTGACCTGGGTTTCATTGAAGCAGTACATGGGAATGACACCCACCTTCTCCTCCACTGCTATGCGTGCAAACCCACGCCTGATGTGCACATGCCACGCCATGCCATGCCATGCCATGCCATGCCATGCCATGCCATGCCAGCAATGCACAAGTCACAACATAGGTACAAATTCAGGCAATGCCCCTCACGATGGGGTTTAGCGCTGCTAACATTGTGCACTGCGTGCTCCAGTGACAAAGCCAACGCAAGTCAATGCAAGTCAACGCGAGTCAAAGCGTGGGTCTCACCTCCTCATGAGGTAGAGCACGTCTGTGTGCGGGTTGGTCCCCAGACACACCTCCCTGATGCCGCCCACCACTATGCCCACCTGCCACCCATGCATGCAGGGCCGTGGGAGGGAGGGAGGATAGACGGTTGTGAGAGGGAAGGGAAGATAGGGGGTGGTGAGAGGGAGGAAGTGCAGTGAAGGGGAGGAATTAGGGCCATCATCAATTTGTTTCCACCACTATGTTCAGTCGCACCTGGTTACCAACGCTGCACTTGACTTACCACCCCAACATGGGTTACAACACCCACATTTTCCCAAACCGCAGGGTAAGTACACTCACATGGTCGCCGTGTCTGAGCTTGGCAATGATGCTGCCGCGGCTGGCAGGGATGGCTCCAGCCAGATATAGCATGGACCGGATGACAGGCACCTCAAAGAATGTGCTGTTGGCCGCACCGAACAGCTCGCCTGGAAGGGATGTATGGGGATGTGAGGGGAGTGTGGGAGGGGAGAGCGATGAGCGAGTTGCGGACCCCATCCCATGAGCCCACAAATGCCTTACCTGGAAAAACTGATTGTTCATGAATGTGATTCTTTTGTTTTCTTCTTTTTCTTTTTCTTTTATTTATTTCCTTGCACTAATCATAAGTCAGCCAAGGTACCCCGCGAGCAGGTGCTGTGGGGGCACGACAATTTCTGTTATGCAACGCATGCCGCACAAACCATGGGGCCAAACACAACAATATTACGTGCCCAGCCTCGTACCCACCGTGGGGACAAAAAACGTTTTTCCAGAGGTGCGTGGTCTGAGTGAGCATGCTGCTGCTGTAGAACATGCGCCCTGCCTACCACGTGTGCGCAGCCCACCAGTGGCGCACAAGGCCACGCATGGCACACCTACCATGTGCGGCAGGTGGGAGCAACCACTACTCACCGTGGGGGCAGAACAAGTCTTTCCAGAGGTGCGCGGTCTGAGTAAGCATGCTGCTGCTGTAGAACATGCGCCCGTGCGGGTGCGCTGTGAACAGGTACCCGCCACGTGGCACCTGCTGAGCTGGCATGATGACGTGCACGCGTGTCATGTAGTGCGCCATTGCTTCGTATAGGAACTGCGGGGGGGAGGTGGGGTGCGGGGCGAGGGGAGAGGGGTGCGGGGAGAGGGGAGAGGGGAGAGGAAGAGGGGAAGCGAGGAGGTGCGGGCAATGCATATGGGGGTAGGAGTGGGGGGGGAGGAGGGAGGGGAAAGGGGAGGGGCGGGGAGAGGAAGAGGATGAGGCCCTTGATTTGATCACATAAATGTTTGACTTGTGCTTTTAAGCAGTGCTATGGCAAACATTGAAGGTGCTTACAGTGAGTTTCTTGCGCCAGGCAGAGTTGTAGTAGAGGGGGATGAGGCGGAGGAGGAGCAGCAGCACCACCACCGCCACTGCGCCCTGCCAACCGTACGCACTGCCACGTCACACCAGAGATGAAACGCCACATGCACATGCGTACGCAGCAGATGACATTGTCCAATGAGCAGACTCTTACATGAACGAACCACAGAGTGAAGATATTATGGTGGCTAAGTTGCTGAGACAGCACTTGTTGAGTTGGCTAGAGTTTTTTTTTTCTTCTTCTTTCTTTTTTCTTTTTTGCCTTTCTCTTTTTTGCTTTTTTTTTTTTCACATCAGAGTTGACTGGTTTGACCAGGATTGACTGCTTTGACCAGAGTGAACTGATTCTGGCAGAGCTAACTAGACGAAAGTGGAAAGATCAACCAGAGTTAACTGTTTTAACTACACAAGATTGGACTTTTGTCACAGCTTCTTGACCAGAGACATATCCGATTGACCAGGTTTGGCACCGTTGACCCCATTGACCCCGTTGACCCCGTTGACTCACCTGTACCCATAGAAGCAGGCAAGCGTGGCGAGCGTGCAGGGGAGGGGCGTGTACGGCAGCATGTGATACACAAACACGATGGCCACGTGCCACGCGCTCATTCGTCCACGTGGCACCAGGTCGCGCATCTCCAGCCCCTCCGCCGCCAGGCGACGTCGCACATTCGCCTCGTCATCGTCTGATGTGTACGCGTCAAGATGCTTCTGCCGCGCGTTATTGTCACCTTCGCCACTCTCAGCCTTCTCCCGCGCGTTATAGTCACCATGATCTTGTCCCGCCCCATGCGCGCAAGCCTCGTTATGCGCGCGCCGACGAATGAACGACGCGGATAAAAGGCTCTCCGCTATGACCTCTGCGGCACCGGCGGCGGCGGTGGCGGCGGTAGAGGCGGAGGGGGAGGTGACGGTAGGGGAGGAGAGGAGGGAGGAGGGTTCAAGGGGCGAGTCGGGAACCGCGCTCAGAAATGGTAGCCTGAACGCGCTGCCGCGAGAGGTCCACGTGTCTTTCTCCTTGTGCTCGCCGCCGCCGCCGCCACCACCGCCGGTGCTGCTGTTACTGAAGCAGACTGAAGCGGCTGCTGCCATTTCCGCCTCAACCGCACGTCGCACTAGTAATCGTTCGTCGCAAGACTTGCGTCGCTCTAGTCGCTCACCGCACTACTCCCCTCGTCACACTAGTAGTCGTTCGCACCTCCTCTTGAAAGTCCCCGAATCTGATGCACTACCTTTGGTTATCAACCAATCTGATATCTCTGGACCTTTCGCGTGCACACGAACTTCGAACACCGTCGAACGCATCTGGCCGCGGGATGGCTAAACTCGTCTTGAACGCACCCAACCTTCTGGTTTCCCACATCGCGCATGGCAAAGAAACGAGTCCAAGGTAGGAAGAGGGAGGGAGCGCAGTAACGCAGTTCAGCGCTTGCTGGTACCAGCAGCAGCGATTGGAGGCCTTGGCGGCGACAGGAGAAGCCCGCGCCGCTCCAATGAAGCAAAGCAGCGCCGTGGATGCCCTCGATGAAACTACCTGTGGCGAAGGAGTCATTCGAATTTCAACAGCGCAGACAATTTCGTTGGCGCGTCACGTGATGGTGGCAGTGTGTGTGCGCACATGGCTGGGCTGAATGTCGTGAGCTTGCATGGCAATGGTGCGAGACACGTCAGCACACGGCTGGCAGTTCCACTAGGAGCAATAAGCGAAACAAGTTTTCGCATAGCAGGGATACACGGACGGCTGTTACGTATACGTCACGCACATGATGGGATACACAGAACCATGTTGTAATTCGGGTTTTACTAGGGTTGTATTAAAGGAGAATCATAATGAATTTCCATAGCATGGAAAAAATCAGACAATGCAGTAATGCTACTCGTTAACAGTACAATAAGACCTACTGGGCAACAGACACCTTCCGCTTCACCTTGCGCTTTGTCGTGCGAGCTGCACCTCCCGTTCCTTGCACCTTCTCCGCCCCCTCTGCACTAGCCGCACCCGCTTCCGCCCCTGCCTCCGCCCCTCCTGCAGCCGCAGCCTTGGTCACTCTCCTAGCAGCACTCTTCTTTTTAGGCTGTGCTTGGTCTGTTTTCTTGCCGAGCAGTGATTGGAGGAACGAGTTTGTCTTGGAGCCGGCACCGGAGGAGCGGGACGGGCGGTGGTATGCCTGCTGCTCTGCCTTGGCCTGTTGCTGCGCCTCGCCGTCCATCCCCAGCCACATCAGACGAGACGGCTCGCCCAACAGAACATTGCCACACCTGCAGGCGATCGTATCGCACAACACAAGGGAAGAGAGACGCTCAGTTGACCCACAAGTATGGCAACGTTGAATCTGCCGACAAATTGCTTGCCTGCAAGCCCCATGTGCAGCCCCCCACAGCCCCGTGCCTAACCCCACCACAACAGCCCCATCTGTATCCCGCGTGGCCCGTGCAAGTGTAACCACCGACCAGCATTTCTGCATGTAATGCCACCTGCAACCTGAGACCCCCACCCACCCACCCGAGGGCGGTGGTGCATAGCAGGGCAACAGGGATGTGGTTCAAGTGCTGCCGCAACACGCGGTCGAGCCCGTACAGCAGCTGGTACCGCAGGTTGCCTGACAGCCAGCCCAGTGCCTATCCCCCATACAGCCTTGGTCCTTTCCTACCCCCCCAACAGCCCTAAGACCCCCACCCACCTGAGGGCGGTGGTGCCGAGGACAGCGACGGGGATGTGGTTGAAGTGCTGCTGCAACACACGATCGAGTCCATAGAGCAGCTGGTAGCGCAGGTTGCCTGACAGCCCCGTGTGTGCCCCGTATGCTGCTGCACTCGTGCTGGCTGACGGCACCGGCACTGATGGCCGGTACCCCTCCTTGCTGCACGGGGGCAAGAAAGAAAGTGGGGAGAGCGGAAGCGAGAGATGCGGATTGGGAGATGGGGGAGACGAGAGAGGAGGGTGTGAAGGTGAGTCGGTTAGAAGAGACGAGGGTGATAGAGTGGGTGGGTTAACAGAGTGAGTTGACAAAGTGGATAGACAGAATAGGTTGACAGAGTGGGAGTGGGCGTTGGCTCAGGTGGTCACAGAAGCAAGGGGGCAAACGGCAGCAGCTGAGGACAGTGCGCACGCGAGCAACGAGAGGCAAGGTGGTGCCTGCCAGCCAGGCTTACCCCTTGGACACAGCTGAGAGAATGGCATTGGATCCAAGGCCTCCCAGCGCGCCGACCGTGGATCCCATGAGGCTGAGCTTGGCGGCATTGAAGAAAAAGATGCCTGCCTTCCCACTTGGTACCAGATCACGCTTACCCCTTGGGGACAGCTGACAGGAAGGCTTACCCCTTAGAAACGGCTGAGAGGATGGCGTTGGAGGCAAGGCCCCCCAGTGCGCCGACCGTAGATCCCAAGAGGCTGAGCTTTGCCGCATTATAAAAGAAGCTGCCGGCGCGGGCGGGCAGGTTGAACTCGCGCAGGGGGTAGCTCTTGTCGAACATGTGGTTGGGCAGCTTCTGCAACGCCATCTGCCACTCAGACGTGGCCGTGCTGCCGTAGGAGCGCGTGGGGGACAGCGACCACACCACCGCCGCGTTGCAGAGAGATAGCGTCAGCACGTTGGTCAACGCCAGACCCCACTCGTCCTTCAGTCTGGGGTGGGGGAATGCGGAGCAAGGGGGGAGCGGAGAGGGGGGGAAGTGGAACAACGTCAGGGGGTTGAACTGCGAGGTGGCGGTGGAACCGTACGAGCGCGTGGTGGACAGCGACCACACCACCGCCGCGTTGCAGAGCGACAGAGTGAGCACGTTGGTGAGAGCCAGGCCCCACTCGTCCTTCAGTCTGGGGGAGGGGGGAGTGGGGTGGGAGGAACGTAAAGGGAATGGTTGCAGATAATTCAGATCCAGGTTTTGATGGGAATGTGGGGAAAGAGCGCAAGGCTCAGCCACTGTGGAAAGAGCGCAAGGCTCAGCCACTGTGGAAAGAGCGCAAGGCTCAGCCACTGTGGAAAGAGCGCAAGGCTCAGCCACTGTGGAAAGAGAGGATTGAACAACTGGCAACAACCATCCAATTCATGGGCCGAACGGTTACTCAGGCGGCACTACGTAGCCAACCAGACTAGACGTATTGTTGGCGAAATCAGAAGACACTTGGGCTACTCTCCGGTCCTAGTTCCCTGGGGATCAGTGCTCACCTGTCGCCGCGTTGCTTGACCTCCCACCACGCGGACGTGCCCACGGTGACCGCCTGCTCCAGCAGCAGCTTGTAGATGAACGCCGGATCCGCCATCATGCTGCCAGGGGGGGATAGGAAGACGGCGAGAGGGGAGGGGAGGGGGGGGGAGGGGGGGACTATGAGACGGCAGAGATAGGACTTGCCGACGGTGACCGCCTGCTCCAGCAGCAGCTTGTAGATGAACGCCGGATCCGCCATCATGCTGGTAGAAGGGAAGAGGGGAGGGACGTAGAGAGGGGGGATTGGAGAAGGGGGGGGAGATACAGGTAAGACGGGCTGTTCCGACAGCAGCTTGTAGAAGAACACCGGATCCCGTTCAACCAAACACCCGCCACCTCCCACTTCCCCTTTCGCCCTGCCCCTTTGCTTTCCATGAAAACCTCTCCTTCGTTCGTTTCTGTCAGCATGGATGGCAAACGGAAACGCTCACCGCAGGACGAGGCCGCGCAGCGTCAGCGGGCGCGGAGCGGAAGCAGATCGGGGCGCGAGCGGATCGGAACAACGATGCGGGGGGTCTGGAGGAAGGGGACAGGATCACGACCGGTCTCGAGACTCACCGGCCGACGAACGCGCGCGAGACCTCGGCTGGCGTGGCGCGGGAGACGATGCGCGCGATGGTGGGGCGCGCGTCGATCGACATGAAGCGCGCGACCTGCGCGGAGCTCACCAGACCCTGATGGGGGCGGAAGAAGAGGGCGAGCAAGGAGACAAGCGGTGGGGAACAGCGGGGGGCAGCGAAAGGCGGAAAGTTTAACATCCAAGAACACGAACCACGGGATCGGATTGCCAGTGAGATCCAGAATTTGGTGAGAATGGCAAGCACATACGGAGGCACGAGTACGATAAAGACGTGCCAAAAATCACTGGTGGAAAAGCGACGGGAGTGGGCGGGAGGGAGATGGAGTTTGACAGGCGGGGATGCTGAACCATGATCCGGCGCAAATTCACAACTCGATTTCAGTTTCCAGCCAAGCTCAGCCCTTCCCGACCCTTCCTCTCGCAGCCCGCGCAAACCCCTTTTCCAAGTCCCCGCCCGCTTTAACACGCGTTCATCGCCACCAGTTGCTATGAAGGGCGGCTGGATATCTTACCATTTCGACGGCTCGTCTGATGCCGGAGGGAAGGTCCGCCATGGTTCGGAACCACTCCTGCAGCACCGCCTCCACCGACGCCCTGTCGAATACCTGCCGGGTGATGCGGATCACGCACAGCAGACAGAACGGGCAGAGAAGGCATTACAGCCAGCCAGGAATATATTTCGTGGAACGGCAACACATGAGTGGCGGCTAAGTTTCGCGATCACAGGTGCCTGACCAGCCGGCCGGCAGAGCTCAGGCACGGAGGGGACATGGACACAATCCGGAATCCTGAAAATGCCGCTGAAACGATTATAATCGCCAACCAATGTGAACGGAGACGCACGGTTAACTAACCTCGGAGATGATCGCTCGACGGATGAAACCGTCGTCGTCGCCGTCGTCGCCGTCGTCCTCGCCGAAATAGTCGTCATCGTCGCCGCCATCGTCGCCGCCGTCGCCTCCGCCGTGCGCTCCGCCCTTGCCGACGTTACCACCTCCACCGCCCAGGTCAATCTGATCGCATACAACAGAAACGCACAGCACCGCACACACAGAGATCAAACAGCGCGCCAGTCAGCTGAAGTCACAAGTGTAGACTAAAAACCTAGATTGTTCATAAAATAACAGGAAAAAACAGCACACGGAATGAGATTCTGGAGTTGCACGGCGCATCCGTGGAGTAACCTTGGTGGCAACAATCGAGACGCCCAGCGATGTGTTCTGCGTCGACTCATAACAGCATACCGATTCCGGCAATCCCAAGGTAGGTGTACCTGTGGGGAGGTCTTGGTGGCGGAGAACGAGAGGTCGAGCTTGGACTTCTCGAGCGTCGCACCGCCGAAAGCGCCGTAGCCCTTCTTCATCATAGGAACCATCATCCGCCCGGACGGCACCGGCGGAAAGTCGTCCGACGACCCCTGCCGCCCCTGATCCTGCTCGTCCGCCAGGCCAGGCCCGCCCGCTACCACTCTAAGTCCCCGCTTTTCCGCGGGGAACGCGCCGGGGACGCATAGGGAGCCTGAGGATGCGGAGGTGGCATTGAGTTTGGCGTTGGGGAAGGAATCGCAGCCGGAGAGGAATTTGACGGAGGACAGTTGCGAGGGGACGCATGGCTCGTGGGAGAGCAGGCCGGTGGTGCGCTGCGCGATGGGCTTGCTCAGCGACGCGTGCGCGTGCGTGTGGAGGAGACCTACTGACGTTGTGGTGGCCATCGCGGGCTGATTCACCAAGCAGCGGTTTTCCTTGCGGTAAGCTGGTAACGGTAAGCGACAACAAGGAACTTGAACTGGCTGACTTAGAGAACAGATACTAGGCCGAGTTCGGAGGTGGTTGAGGTATGAGAGACGTGAAGCTTGCTTGCCCTAACTGGACTTCAGCAAGCTGAAGTGGAAGGGGAGTATGAAATGAGCAGAGGGATGGTAAAAAGGAGAGCAGCTCTCTTGTTGTGCTTGAGAGAACGTTCCTGGCCGGTGTCAGGCAGGCTGACACGAAGCTGTGAAGGGTCTCGATTCGATTGAGGATGATGTGGAGCGATCGCAGCCGTCAGTAGCCTTGTGTCAGGGAACTTGACACCGGCCAAGAACGTTCCCTGAGGCACACTCCTCTCGAGTCCAAGGAGTTTCACTTTTAAAGGATGGGGAGCGTTTTTTTGGTTTCTCGTGCGGTTCAATCGGGTTGATATCTTATATGCTCCGTAGGCCCGAAGAATTTCGGTGGGAGGATGGACACAAACATGTCAGGGTGTGGTGGATGGGTTCCCCTCGCTTTGGTGGGCAAGGGGAAAGGGGAGTGCTGGGACGGAAAAGGTATTTTCGGGCAGATAGTAGCAACGCATAGTGAATGACAAAGGTGGATTCTGTGAGGACACGATTGGCCGTGTGGGTTCAGGAAGAAGGTGGCTTATTCTAATTGATCAGCTGATTTTTCTAGGTCTTTCTATGAGCTACCCGAAACAGCTTTCGGTGAAAAATAAGTTGGGCTGCACCATCCACTTTCTGTGGTGTCGGCGACGCCTGCCCCCACTTCTGGGATTGCCGCACTGGCTTGCACAGGCGAAAAAGGTGCCACGTTGGAATAGCGTGCAGACGTGGAGATTGCATTGAAACTCTCGGCAAAGTCAGGTAGGATGAAAACTTTCGTTAGAACGGTTGCGCTGTGGAAGAAATGTAAATGTTGATCACGGTGTACCCAGACGCCACATAAGTCAAAAAGGTCGCATGATTAGTATTCATATATGTAGGGTTACAGAAAAGTATGGCAAGACACAAATTCATGCCATAGATGATAAATTGGTGATTGGCATTGGATTCAACCATGCCTGATAAGTCCTGGAATCAACCATTCTCTTAAACCTGTGGGCAAAGAAGTTCAACGTCAGAATGTTGGTTGGGGTGAGCAATGAAATTGGCCAAGATATTGGATGCCAAAGTTACACTCAACTGAGGTTAGGAGGGGTGAGCCAATTTAGGCTTTCTTAGTTCGCAGGGTTTAAGATCCATCAACATCATAGGCAGCAATTCCCTGCAATTTAGCCTAGGGTAAGAACTCAAAAGTCTTGTTGCAGAGAGTAAGCTCTTTTCGTCAGCTCAGGCAAGAGCCAAGTATTCATCGGCACAAGCTAGAGCTAGCAATTACCAGCACTAGCATGAGGAAAGAACTGACTGCAGGTCCACCAACCGCCGATGTGATTTTATGTTCCAGTCATGAATATATTTGCATGTCTACGTACGCCTGAGCAGAAAGCTAAGTCTTTGTTTCATTAACACAAATTTCCTGTAATACGTATAAGCAATTCATCTAGCTGCCCTCTAGTACCTGTAGTGGGCAGGCTTGTAAGGACCCTCCACAGGCACATTGATGTATTCGGCCTGAGCAGGGGTTAGCGTGGTGAGCACAGCCCCCAGCTTGGGCAAGTGCAGGGCAGCAACCTTCTCATCCAGGTGCTTGGGCAGCACGTACACCTCCTTCTTGTACTTGCCCGAGTCCTTCTCCTTCCACAGCTCAATCTGAGCAATCACCTGGTTCGTGAACGAGCACGACATCACGAAGCTGGGGTGGCCAGTAGCGCATCCCAGGTTCATCAGGCGGCCCTCAGCCAGGATAATGATGCCACGGTTGGTCTCAGGGAACACCCAGCGGTCAGTCTGGGGCTTAACGGTCACCTTCTTGGCACCAGGGTAGCTCTCCAGGCCGGCCATATCAATCTCATTGTCAAAGTGACCAATGTTGCACACAATAGCGTTGTTCTTCATCTTCACCATGTCAGCGACCATGATGATGTCCTTGTTACCAGTGGTGGTAACGAAGATGTCAGTGTCGGCAACCACATTCGCCAGGGTGTTCACGGCGAAACCCTCCATAGCAGCCTGGAGAGCGCAGATGGGGTCGACCTCCGTGACTGTAACGCGGGCACCGGCAGCCTTGAGAGCGGCAGCGCAGCCCTTGCCGACGTCACCGTATCCGCACACCAGAGCGGTCTTGCCAGCGATCATGACGTCAGTAGCCCTCATGAGACCGTCGGGCAGAGAGTGACGGCAACCGTACAGGTTGTCAAACTGCAGGGGACGACGGATCGGACAGAACAGGATATTCGTTACCAAGTAATCAGCTGAGAATTACAAGGTGTTGGCCCACAAGGATTTATGGGTTCGTTTAAAATGCCGTCTCAACATTCAATCTCAGAGGGTTCAGGCTGTTGCAAAATAACCCATTGATCCAACACAGGTTTATGAAAGTACCTTGCTCTTGGTGACGGAGTCGTTGACGTTGATGGCGGGGAAGAGCAGCGAGCCGTTGAGCTGCATCTGGTACAGCCTCTTGACGCCCGTGGTGGTCTCCTCCGACACACCCATGATGCGCTTCGCCATGTCGCGGTACTTGGTCGGCGACTCCTTGAGCGAGTCGCGGATGATGGTGAGCACGATCTGGAACTCGGGGTTCGTCGTCGACTCGGGGTCAGGGACAGCGCCTGACTTCTCGAACTCGATCTCGGCCTTCACACCCTGCAAGGGCAATGTCCACATGCACATGTCAGAAGATGCTCACCGCAAGATCGCCTGCGTGTTTACGTTGTCGAAGTGGTAAATTTCATACGTTGACTGGATCAGGAGAAACTCCAATTTTCAAGTAAGTTACCTCGTGGATCAGGAGGGTCGCGTCGCCACCGTCGTCAACGATCAGATCGGGGCCGCTGCCGGCGCCCCAGTCGAGGCAGCGCTCAGTGCACCACCAGTACTCCAGCAGGGTCTCGCCCTTCCAGGCGAACACGGCGGCTGAATCGCGGGCAATGACGGCAGCTGCGTGGTCCTGGGTGGAGAAGATGTTGCACGAGCACCATCTCACCTCCGCGCCGAGCGCAGTGAGGGTCTCGATGAGGACGGCAGTCTGCAGAGGAAAACAAAACAAAAAAAAAAAACCCGAAAAAGCATTGTCAGATTCCAATGATGATTACTTTCAACGAGACCGCAGCTGTTAATTACGAACAAGGGTAGAAACAAACCGACTCAAAACGTTTCAAAGACAAAAGGCAAAATCGGGAATTTCGACCCACCTGAACAGTCATGTGCAGGGATCCACTAATCTTGGCTCCCTTGAATGGCTGAGCAGGGCCGAACTCCTCACGGCAGGCGACGAGGCCAGGCATCTCGACCTCGGCGAGATCGAGCTCCATGCGGCCGAAATCGGCCAGGGACATGTCCCTGACCTTGTACTCGCGGCCGGAGGCCGTCTTCTCCACGGTAAGGTCGGTGGTAGCCATAGTGGCAAAGCTTCTGTTCTAGAAGCACGGGAAAAGAGCGAGTAGATCGGAGAGAAAACGATAGGAGAAGCTTTGGCTTCAGAAAATTGAAGCCTGAATCTGAATGATGCACGGAAGGTCAGGACGTTTATTGCTAATTTTGATGGGAGGGAATTCACGAGGGATTTGTGGGGTGGTGACAGGATTCACGAGATGCTGGGTTCAGGGGGTGTCGAGTGATCGAAGCGTGGCATTTGTGGTTCGGAAGGAGGGAACTTCGTCATTGTTTGGTTTGGTTTGAGAGGGAAACCGTGCCGGGGTCAGCCGACCTTGGCGAAGCGATAACAGCCGTTGGATGAGAGATGTTTCACTGCATCGCACTGTCAAGGAAATGCTGGTGGCTCACGCAAACCTCGAGGGAACCTGCCACGCACCGAAGCATTTCGTGCTGGCTCGACAACTGCTAGGATGCCTTTGTAACAGCAGCGCAGGTTGGGGGGGCTTCGTCGTCAAGAAGTCCGGTCTCCCACGCTGACGGGTTACGGAGATTGAAGTCCACGTGTCCTCCAAGCCCGTGGGATGACAGTCGCCACGCGGCCTTTGGGCGTTCTCATTAAAAGCACTCAACAATTGTCAAGCTCGATACCTTCATAAAGGAAACTGATGTACAAACTGAAGAATTACTACTTTTGCATACTGTTTACAACCTTCCCGGTCTGCTGCCAGCTATAGCCTCGCCGTTGTAACCAACCCACTAAGCGTTGTTTTCGCTTCTCCAAAGGGACAATTTCACCTCTGCCCCACACTTTTGAAGCTTTAGCAGTTAATGTAAGCCATGCCTCCTTGTTGAGTCCAGCTTGACTTGCATCTTCGTAATCATTATCTTCCAAATCCTCACCAACATCACCACTGCTATCAATACTGTCCTCACTTGAACTGCTTAGAGTGTAGACGGACACCACAGCTGCGTTAGCATCATTGGCGCTGACCCCTCTCTTCTTAAGCTCCTGTAATGTCAAAATAAGTGCAAGCCAGACAAAAGCAGGAGACAATTGTTTTGCATTAGAAGCACATGTAACGACCGTGCAGCGTGCACCACTACACACAATGCCAGACCAGCCAGCAACGATACACAGAGGGAGCTCACCAGTCTGAGGCGAGCTGGACCCCATGCAAACTGCTTGAACCTCCCTCGAGCAAAAGCCTCCGCGTACTCCGTGTCATTCACAAGGCCACTGTGGGTGACGGTAGACATGGGCAGAGAAAAATGGGGAATCCGGCGCAGCTAGACAGACATTAGCGGAATGGTTTTAACACACACCACCAGACACACCATCCATGGTTTTAGGCAGTGTAGCATGGCTTACAGCTTCTTCATGTAGTTTATGGCAGCATCAACCGCAGCATCTGCCTGCTCCAGTGGCATGCTGCCACGTGGCTGCCCTGTTCCCGCTCTCCTGGCCAAACCCCAGGCCCGCTCTGGCTGGGTCAGGTTGGCTACCAGCTTCTGCCGCAGCTGCGCCTCCGACCACTGCCTGCCCCACCCGCACAGAGACGCGCACATAGAGGCGCCCAGACAAAGTCACAAGCATAAGGTCAACAAGCATAAGTCAACAGAAGCAGAGTCATACCAGCTTGGGGAATATGGGATGGGATGGACAAATGTTGCATATGCTTTTGCGCTAAAAGACACACGCCAGGCCACGTTGGTGTATGAAGGAAGGTCGAAATGGCGAGGAAAAGGTAGTGCATGCCGGGGCAATGGTTAGTCACTCACTTGAGACTCAGCAGTCGCACCGCCTCCACCCGTGCCATCCTGTACACATCCTTCTCCTCCTCCTCGTCGCTATCCTGCTCTGCACCTTCCTGAAAAGTGATGCTTGAGTCGCCTGCTGCGTCCTCGGATGGCTTCCGAGGCCTTTGAATCGCGCGCTGTGCTGCTGCACCCTCCTGCTGCCGCAGCCCTCCTCCTCGCTGTGCCCATTCGCCCCCTCTCTGTCCAATCATCCCCAATCCCCCTCCGCCCTTCTCTCTTCTGCTCCCCTCCCCCCTTTCGTTTCGCCCCTGTGCGCTGGCGGAATGTACAGCGGAACGAGGAGGCGAACTTCTCCGTTCTTTCTGTCTCCGTCCTCCCTCTCTTCCCGCGCCAGTGTCGTCGTCTGAAAGCTCTTCCCTTCTGTCACCTTCGCTATTATCACCTCCGGATGCCTCCCCGCCATTCATCTCCAGTCCGCCTGATGCGGGATCGAACCGCACTGCTCGCCGTCGACCCGACTGCACTCCACGCCTGCGCGACGGGAGCCCGCGAGGAATAACGGTCGCGATTCCAAGCTCCAAGTTCTCCTCATCCTCCGCCGTCGATTCGACTCCCGCCTGCATCTGCCACCGGCGCTGCTGCTGCTGCCATTCCCAAGACTCGCGCTCTTGCCGTGTACTCTCGTGGCTCGTGTCGCGATCGCTGGATCGTACGACTCTCTTTCTGTCATCAGATGTCGCATTGCATAATCCTCTCCTGCGAGCCGCGCGCGCACTGTAGTTAACATCTGTCGAGATCCAGCGGATTACGCGTGTTAGAGCGAGGCCTGCTTGCCTACCAACGAGAGGGAGACATCCAGGTGCGTTGAGGAAGAAACGTGTTGGTCTACTAACGAGCGGGAGACCTGGTGGCGTACTAACGAGGGTTCGCCAGTTGCAAGGGCTCCCTCTGATGCAACGGTGCCACCGTGACATGTCTGGTTTTTGAGTCGACTCAAAAGTCAGCTCGGTGTCACCGTGACATGTCTGGTGCTTCGAGCTGCGCTCCGCCGGACTCTAACTATATCGATAAACGATGCCACGTAGGATGTACTTTCAGCGGTGACAGGAATTACTTGTTTAGAGATTCAAGTGCAGCCGACCGCAGCGCACGAAGTCGGAATCTGCAGCACGTCGTATCTTCAACGGCATTCAGCGACGCTGTAGGACCTCGCACCATGCGCTCACACACCTGGAAAGGCGGGCTAGATCTTGAGGGAGGAGCAGGAGCTCTGGAGAATAATGGAAATCGAGCTTCCAACAGAACCGATGTGACGAGGCTGCGGTAGCCGCGATGCTCCCAGTTGACATGTGTAATGAATGTGAATTCATTACTGTAGAGGCTGCTCCTAGCGAGGACAGCCCGAACTGTTCGCGTCAGTTTGGGCTCGGTCTACACTTTCGTACCGAACCAGCGCCGAGTCGCCCCGCACCAATCGCGACACTTCCAAGCCTCGCACGTCCCGAGGCCCTCGCCTAGCACGGTTTAGACCCTATAAATGCTCGCTTCTTTATCATTCTCGTGATTTTGTAATTCTCATCCTTTTTATAAAGTCTTCCGCGCACTCTTCTTAGTACAACTCATAACACTTGGTATCAGAGCCTAAGTTCCTAGGTTCCCCGTTTTTTAGAGTGTATTACCCCTCGGGGGGGGGGGACAGAGAAGGATGCCGTGGTGACAGGAGTAGCGCAGTAGCCGGCCAGGAGAACGGGTAGTTGCTCCTAGCGGCCATGAATTTCTCTGGCGCTCCTGCGGCACCGACGGATCCTTGCCCTCGACGGTCGGGATTGACCGTGGCCTCCCACCCCTCGGGTGGTGGACAGCTGTGGCTGTCGCACATTAACTGCCTTTGTTATTTTCGTCGGTTCCATTAATCTCGTCACTGTTTTTCATGCGGCAGTTGGCGTCAGGCATGTTGGCGTCACTGCATTTGCGAGATTCTCGGAAGCAGCAAGGTCGTCACTGTTGTGCGAGTTGGCATCGGCACGTGGTCGCCAACTGCGCGCGACAATCTCGGAGTTAATGCGTGCGGCAAGTGGCGTCAGGCGTAATCGTCACGTTGCGCACGAGATCTCAGAGGTCTTCGGCACGTTGTGAACGGGGTCACTGTGCGTGAAGATTTCGGGTGACTTCACGGCAGAAACGACAGCTGGCCGGGCAGGCCAGGCGCATGGTGATTTGCGTCGGAAAATGCAACGGCGAGGAGAGACGGCGTGACGACTGCCCGAAGAAAGCGGGGGTCTACCGTCGTCCCGCCCGGGTGCGGCCGGTGTGGCTGCAGGAGGGTGTGTCGTCGGCGTTTTCGGCAGGAGCGGCACAGTGTGGGACGGTCCACCGAAAAGTTCGGGAAAAACCGCCTACGACTAGATTGTCTATCGCTAGGGTCACTGCTGCACCTGCACCACGATCGGCGAAATTTTCGGAGCAACAAGCAGCAGCCGACACTGTACTTCAGGCAGCATAGTACCCCCTGATCAAGGGTAGTTGCGCCGCAGACAGGGCAGTACACCAGCGGGACAACGTTTCGGCGCAGTGTTTAGACCCGCGATTTTCGGGGGTTCTACCAGCTACAATACATGAAGTTGCGTCGAGATCGGGTTTAGCGAGAGAAACGGGCTTCGAGCTTCAGGAGGCGAGAATTACGACCCACGGGGAAACGCTCAAGCTGATGCCTAAACGTTTTGCGGCTAAGCGGCGGTAGCCGGATGGGTACCACTACCGGCCGAGGTTTCCGAACGTTTCACATACCTCACGCCCAGAAGGCCTCAAAGGCAATTAGTAAGTCCTATTGGCCACTGGATCCAAAGGTGGGGCCCTGTGTTTAGCCCTGTGCTGGCTAAAAAGCGCGGGTATTGCGCCAGTTCGACAGCTGGGCGTACAAGAAATTTTCAAGGAGACGGCACTGTTTCGGCCCCAACAAAACCGGACCATCGGCAGCAGTTACCCCGCCGAAAAAGTCGGAGCTGAAACAGTTGGTGCAGCTGTCGGAGTTTCTCCTAATTCAACGGTCTACCCGTCGGCGGTGTAGCGGCGAAGAAGGGGTTTCCGACGCTGTGGAATTTTAAATGCGATAGACGCGGTGGGCAACGAAGCGGCCGGCCCGACTGTTTGATCCGATAAACATGATCCGGCTACGATAGCGTTCGCGCCTTCACCGAATGTCAGAAAAATCGCGGGCAACACGGAGTTATACCTCATCCGACAAAAGCGGACGCTGGGTGAACGGCGGCAAGCGAAATTGTCGGGGGGTGAAGACAAAAAATTAAGTGGAGGGAAATTTGTGGGTGCTCCAGCAGATCTCCAGAGTGAAAGGTTGAGCCCGTACACCAATCCACCGCGAATTTCGGAGTCTATTCGGTAGACCCCCGAAAGGGTTTGATATTGTTACATGGAGGCGCGGCGAGCGGTGTATCGCCAAGGATACCTGGGATTCGCTAAGTAATTTCGACGGGTGCGAAGACGGGTGAACGTCAGAGTACCAGGGTTAACGGCGGAAACGTCGGGGTTACGCGGCGGAAAATACTTCGGGACTGCTTCAACAACCATGATTTTCAGGGTTGTTTCCTACGGTGGGGGACGGGTGAACGTCTGCTCGCCAGCTGTTTCAGCGGTTTACGGTGTACTTTGAAGCCATCTGAAGAAAGTACCAAGTATCGGCTTTACAAGAGTTCGGCGGTGAAGGCCGACAATCTCGCAAAAACGGCGGGAGTTGCGGCGGCGCTGGGATAAGCACGCGAAAACTGACGTGGTGAACTTCTTGGTGGCAAAATTTGTAGAGTTTCGGGGTACCAGCCGCAACACAGGTGAAAATTATCGCAACAGGTGGGGGGAGGAAGGACAGCTTTTTCGCCTATGCCCCGAAGTTCTCGGCGAGTAACGACAAAGTCGCCGGGGTAGCTGACGTCATCGACAGTCCAAGTTTGAGTTTGAAAAAAAATAGCAGGCGGTCAGGGGGAAGTGGAGCAGCTGTTTTCGCCCCTGCCCGGGATGTTTCGGAGAAAGGCGACAAAAGCCTCGGCAAGTCAGGACAAGACTGCCGGAGGTGCTGACAGCTGGAGTAGCTGCAACGAGGAAACTGCCACAGTTTCGCAACAGCAGCAGCAAATTCGGATTGCAAGATCTGCCAGCTGTAGATACGACAGCAGCCTGTTGATTTACGTAATACTGCCACGCGTGGTTTTCAGGGTGGCAGTCACGGGAGATGCTGCAGCAGCAGTCGCGAATACAAGACAAAAGGAAGGGTCGCACCCTGAGTCCAATGGCACAACGACCACCCTCTAAAAGGACGTCACGGTTCACCCTGACGAGTTTTTAACAGATCAAGATTACGATATTTCGCCACCGATAGCAATTTCGACAGCACATCGGCTAAACTTCAGGCGGGAAGTCATAACACTTGGTATTCTATTCTACCCTCAGCGTCAGGGTGGTTGTGATTTTGTGTCCGCGCAGCCGTGCACATTTTTGTGGGCGGCAGCTATCTTCCAAGGGGGGGGAGAAAGAGTGCTCACGCACTGTTCTCGGCAGGTCTCTGACATTTCGGCAGTTATTTCGGACAGCTCGTCTGACACACCCCGCACGACGGACGCACGCGATGGCTTTATCGGCATCAACGGCACCAGATTCTTCGATCTCTGACAACGCGTCAGAATTCCCGCCGACATTGCGTTCATCTGGACCATCCGATATACATCAGCGACATCGACGGCTTCCCTTCATCGACGGATTTCCAACTCGACATTCGCTTTCAACCGCCCGATCGACATCGGCAGTATCAACGGCTGACATCCCAACTCTTTGAAATTCGCCTGGTCAACGCGCTCAGCCACGCGTCAACTCGAAAGTCAACACGCTTCCGCGCCGTCAGATCAGTTTTCGACCGAGATTTGCAGTTTTCACGCTACTGCACGACTCGCCTACATATAAGGGCACCTTATTTAGAAGGTGGGAGAGTGTAATGAATGTGAATTCATTACTGTAGAGGCTGCTCCTAGCGAGGACAGCCCGAACTGTTCGCGTCAGTTTGGGCTCGGTCTACACTTTCGTACCGAACCAGCGCCGAGTCGCCCCGCACCAATCGCGACACTTCCAAGCCTCGCACGTCCCGAGGCCCTCGCCTAGCACGGTTTAGACCCTATAAATGCTCGCTTCTTTATCATTCTCGTGATTTTGTAATTCTCATCCTTTTTATAAAGTCTTCCGCGCACTCTTCTTAGTACAACTCATAACAACATGGAAGATGTTTATGCAGGCTCCCTCACTAAAAAGGACTATGTTTCTAATCAGGCAGAAGACTATTTTGTTTTGCAGGGGACATCTTGCAGTTCACTGCCATTGGCTTGGATCATTGTAGCAAAGCGGATGGATGTAAGGTTGGGTCTGCGCGCGCACCTGTCATTTTGGTTGCCTCTGTTTCTTTGGCGTGCGTACCGTGCCTGCTTCTGTTTGGAGGGACTCTGCCTTTTTTTGGCTGTGCTTGGTGGACCTCTCTCACGTTGGTTCTGTGTCACGTTTGTCTCTTTGTTGGATGATCCTTTTGCCTTGGTTTGGTTGTGTAGTCGGGTACCGTACCTACCTTACCTTACCTCACCATACCTCAGCATACCTTTATAATACCTTGCATTACCTTACATTACCTTACCATACCTTAGCATCCCTTCCTATGCTTTACAATGCCTTGCACTAGCCACGCACCCTTGCTACTACTGCTACTGCTGTTGCTTCGAAATGACCTACCTATGAAGGGAAGATGGGGCAGTAGTGGGGAGGGCAGATACCACAGGGGGGATTAAAAAGGGGGGGTGTTATTCAGGGGAAGAAATTCCGTAGCTGCAGGAGTAGTGAGGGGCAAAAGATGTAAGCAAGAAAAGCAGCTGAAAGTAAGAAGCAGCTGAAAATAAGAAGCAGCAGAAACATACGGTAGCTCAAAAGAGAAGAGCAATGAAGAGCACAGAGGAGCAGAGAGGAGCAGAGAGCGGTAGGGAGCTGCAGAAATGGGCACTGCACTTGAAATCCCTCCCCCGGCCCCCACATGCCAGCAGGCGATCAGGTTGGTCTCAAGCCAGCGCACACAAGACAGGAGCAAGCACACACGCAGGAGACATAAGTGCGTCAGAAGCAGCAGAAAAAAGCGGACTGAGAAGAAATCCACTTCACGTGTAAGACTTGCCGCATGGCAACCTGGACACTTGTACCCGCCCAACATACCCGCTCAATGACTTACCGTACTGCGATGGCGAGCTTTGATCAAAGCCATGTGGTCCACGTCACCTCTCTGAGAAGCATCACCCCTTGGCTTGATTGTTGCTGTGTCCTTGGGCCTCAGAGCAGGAGACACACACCGGCACCACAGCAGCAAACAGCACAGACACGAGCACAGACAGAGGAGAGTGAGTCAGGAGCAGCAGTGGGAAAGGACTCGAAAGCAGCAAAAATGATTCTAAGACTTGCCGCGCGGCGACCTAGACTCTTCTGTCCCCCCAATAGACCCCCCCAACAACTTACTGTGCTCCAGAGCTGAGCCATGCTCAGAGCCATGTGTTGAGGATACTCAATCGCACTGCACCTCTTTGTGAGAAGCACCACCCCTTGGCATGACTGTTGCTGTGTTCTTGGGCCTCAGTGCAGGGGGCACACCCCCCATCAGGTTCGTCCATCAGTTCCCCCATCAGGTTCGTCCATCAGTTCCCCCATCAGGTTCGTCCATCAGTTCCCCCATCAGGTTCGTCCATCAGTTCCCCCATCAGTTCCCCCATCAGGTTCCCCCATCAGGTTCGTCCATCAGTTCCCCCATCAGGTTCGTCCATCAGTTCCCCCATCAGGTTCCCCCATCAGGTTCCCCCATCAGGTTCCCCCATCACTTCCCCCATCAGGTCCCCCCATCAGGTTCCCCCATCAGGTTCCCCCATCAGGTTCCCCCATCAGGTTCCCCATCAGGTTCCCCATCAGGTTCCCCATCAGGTTCCCCATCAGGTTCCCCCATCACTTCCCCCATCAGGTCCCCCCATCAGGTTCCCCCATCAGGTTCCCCCATCAGGTTCCCCCATCAGTTCCCCCATCAGGTTCCCCATCAGGTTCCCCATCAGGTTCCCCATCAGGTTCCCCATCAGGTTCCCCCTCAGGTCCCCCATCAGGTTCCCCATCAGGTTCCCCATCAGGTTCCCCATCAGGTTCCCCATCAGGTTCCCCATCAGGTTCCCCATCAGGTTCCCCATCAGGTTCCCCATCAGGTTCCCCATCAGGTTCCCCATCAGGTTCCCCATCAGGTTCCCCATCAGGTTCCCCATCAGGTTCCCCATCAGGTTCCCCATCAGGTTCCCCATCAGGTTCCCCATCACTTTCCCCATCAGGTTCCCCATCAGGTTCCCCATCAGGTTCCCCATCACTTTCCCCATCAGGTTCCCCATCAGGTTCCCCATCAGGTTCCCCATCACTTTCCCCATCAATTTCCACATCAGGTTCCCC